AATTATTATGCCCCTGAACTCATCGTTCTTAGTAAGGGCAGTGGGGTAGCCTAGTGGTTAAAGCGTTCACTCGTCACGCCGAAGACCCGGGTTCGATTACCCAAATGGGTACAATGTCTGAAGCCCATTTCTGCTGTTCCCCCGCCGTGATATTGCTGGAATATTGCTAAAAGCGGCGTAACTTGTGACCTTACTGAGTCAGTCAGTCAGTAGTAAGGGCGGTGGGGTATCCTAGTGATTAAAGCGCTCGCTCGTCTCGCCGAAGGCCCGGATTCGATTCCCTACATGATTACAATGTGTGAAGCCTTAGTTATTTCTGGTGTCCCCCGCCCTGATATTGCTGGAATATTGCTAAAAGCCCACATGTAATGAATGCATGATTTCATAATCTCCATACCAAAAGTAAGAACGTTTATACTTACACAAATGCACTCTCTCATCCGGCGTGATCCTTATTCGTTATGTAACTTGTGTGGTCAGCATGGCCACTTGCTTAAAGTTGGGCACTTGTACTGTTTATCTGTTGTTGATGGTGGCAGAAAACAACATAAACTCCTGAGTGTATCTTGAGTGATGAGGACGCACAAACATCCTTATATATATTAAGTCGGAGCGGTGGGGTAGCTTAGTGGTTAAAGCGTTCGTTCGTCACGCCAAAGACGCGGGTTCGATTCCCTACATGGGTACAATGTGTGAAGCCCATTTCTGGTGTCCCCCGCCGTGATATTGCTGGAATATTGCTAAAAGCGACTTAAAAGTAAACTCACTATTTATTAAGGGGCGGTGGGGTAGCCTAGTGGTTAAAGCGTTCGTTCGTCACGCCAAAGACGCGGGTTCGATTCCCTACATGGGTACAATGTGTGAAGCCCATTTCTGGTGCGCCCCGCAGTGATATTGCTGGAATATTGCTAAAAGCGAAGTAAAAGTAAACTCACTCACTATTTATTAAGTTAAGGGCGGTGTGACTTGATGTTTAAAGCGTTCACCCGACGTCATCATGTGTTTTTGCGAACAGTGAAGATAGTATGGATGAAGACATTGTCTGTTGCTTACCCACCCTCTGCTCCTGATCGTCACATTCTACTGAGTAGCACAGTAACATTATTGCACGCTTCGTCTGTACCTCCGACCAAGACACAATCCAAGAGGTCATGCTTGTAGTGTGTTACTGTTCATACCTGTACATGATGGGTCAATTCAGTGGAGTAAGTTAAATAATACATTATATATACGGGGCGGTGGGGTAGCCCAGTGGTTAAAGAGTTTGCTCGTCACGCCGAAGACCCGGGTTCGAATCCCCACGTGGGTACAATTTGTGAAGCCCATTTCTGGTGTCCCCCGCTGTGATATTGCTTGAAAATTGCTAAAAGCGACGTAAACTTAAACTCACTCACTCATTATATATACACGTCAACGCAAAACACTAACCAGACGTATCTGCACAGATCACTGAAAAACAGAATGGACACCAGGTGTTCGCGAAAAGGTTAAGCATGTCCTGCCGTCCAAGTAAACTCACGTCGTGGCTACAAGACACGTCACCGTGCAAAGTGAGGTATTCCCTGTTTCCGACGATCTTAAGCCAATGCTAAAGTGAAGACGTCGTGATTGTCTTTACTCTATACTGCTTTGTACAAGCGGGTCCTGGTTCTCGCCCACCTTCTCTCTGTCTCCCAAACCCCTGCTACTGTCATTGACCTGTACATGAGGATGTACTTACAACATCATTGTGATGCAGTATTTCACGAATGGAGATGTTGGCGAATTCGGCTTATATTAAACAAACATATATAGAGAATACTACACGAGGTCTCATTACATACGAATTATACGAAACGAGTGTCCTTCCTATGGTATCTGACCGAGCGAAAGCGAGGTCAGATAACATTAAGCTGGTTCCCTGCTCCCTTTGCGCGCGCTAACGCGACAGATATAATGTCTCAGTTCGACTCACAATTAAACAGCGACACGGCAACGTTCGCAATGTTTACATTCCCACAATGCATTTAAGTTGTAGAATGAATGAATTCACGTGTTTGTTATGAATGAAAAAATATTTACGTCAGAATGTGACCTAATTGAGAGGTCATCGGTTATCAATCAAATCGTTCGAATTTCAGGTCAAGTCGTTACGACACAGGTCAACGCGATACGACACTCGTGTGATGTACGAGATTAATATGCAACTACCCATACGTTGACCACGTGGGTAATAAATACAAATACGACATGTTATGCCGAAATGTGGGAAAATACTGTAAATTAGAACTTATTAATAAATTCAGAATTATGTCATTAGTGTAATGACTGACATATGCATTCATACATTGTCGATATTGTTGTTAATTGTTTTTACAACATGGGGAAAGTGTTTTGTTTTAAGCGCCCGTGAACCATGTCTTGTTAGTTGGCATGGTGGTCCTTTAAATATTTCTAAACGCAGCGTTAAACGACACACTATCATTTTGTTTACACATTTTTCTCCTCTACCGAAAAAAGTTCGACCACGTACTTCACAAATACTCTCGACTGGGACCTTAACGTCAAGTATGAATAAACCCCTTCACTCTACACGGCATATACATCAGTGACAGTTTCACCAGCGATAGCCGGAGAAAGCCGGGAACCCCTAGGTCTGCCTTATCTAACATTGACACAGATTTTCTCTAACCCTCATCCGCGTGTAGACTGTTAGAGGGAGGCAGCGCGTTGGGGGAGGTATGTGCTCGTGAATATTCTGTCTGTATATTTGTCTATTTTGTGTTTTACATAATGTCTACTTGCACATTTTGTTCATTGACGATCAAAAAAGAAATATAACAATAATATAGCGTACTGTTTAGTCAGGGTTTAATTAGTAAGTTTTCAACTAACATTTTGCCACGTAATAGCGACATGTATTGACAAATGAATAATCATCATCTCTAAACTCATAAATAAAATAAATAACGTTAAAACGGGAAAGCTTAATTATCACTTGTACTAAACATGTTATGGTTTTAATGTGATATCGAAGTATATAACAGCTGCTATCAAATATTTAAATATTTCAACATGTCAAAAAATATACGAATATTATTAATGGAATATTAATTCGCAAATGTAAATATTGATTTACTGCAAAGTCATTGGTCATGGCAGGCAGCTGTAAGGCGAGAGGAACAGTTCTGTATGTGATTGTGAAAGTGGTGTCGAGTAACGGGGTTGCTACAAGACGCCTGACCCAGCCGTGAGAAACTGTTAATTACTTGACATTTGCCTCTAAGATTGTTATGGTGCCACAATGCTGATTCATAAACTATGGGATTGTGTAGCGTTACTTAAATCATTGAGTGAGTGAGTGAATGAGTGAGTTTGGTTTTACGCCGCTTTTAGCAATATTCCAGCAATATCACGGCGGGGGACACCAGAAATGAGCTTCACACATTGTACCCATGTGGGGAATCGAACCCGGGTCTTCGGCGTGACGAGCGAACTCTTTAACCATCAGGATACCCCACCGCCCCTAAATCATTGAGTGGTATCATGCATTCGACGATATTACTATCAGTAGTACTGACGAATGACTCATCCATGGACGACATCCAGAGGTGTTGTCTCCATCATCGCCACCCTGCCTCAGATTATCACAGACTCATGTCCAACTCCGCGAGAACTTCTCTGAGTGCCATTTTAGAGGTTGGGAAGTACAATGCAGACAAACGTTATGGACAAGAACTTCTTTTATTTTGTGGTCCGACGTTTCGATACAATAGATGTTTGTACCGTTGTCATGCAGGAATGTAACAAGAAGTGCAGGTATATAATACACCCCCTCCACTTCATGTTACATGGTAACCCACGTTATCCCCCCTATTGATGATGCACTCCCAGTCTAATCCCAAATACTGCTTTCAAGCATAAAAAGAGAGATTATCCGTGACTGTGGATGTCGTGAATAAACAATACTATTTATACAGATTATGACGTTTCACTGAAGTGTTTCAATATTAAGAATGATCCATACTCACATGGAAATCAGCAATCACATGGTCCTCGTGAAATGTTTCGGAAGGGTTGGGTGTAATGTTTTGGTTCCGAAACCATTATCTGTTGTAATCCTTAAAGCCGTGACCCGTGAACATATGCATCCTGGTTAGAATTGATCTTCAGTAACCCATGCTAGTTGTAAGAGGTGACTAACGGGATCGGGTGTTCAGGCTCGCTGACTTGGTTGACACATGTCATCCGTATCCCAATGGCGTAGATGGATGCTTATGCTGTTGATCGCTGGATTTTCTGGTCCAGATTCGATTATTTACAAACCGCCTCCATATAGCTGGAACATTGTTGAGTGCAGTGTAAAACTAAACTCACTCACTCACCCTTAAAGACGTATCCTTCATTAAGCTTCAACATTTTCTGACATTCATATTTCAAACGACAGATTCCCATATATGTTTTCATGATCCCAACTGTTTCTCGACAGTACAATATAAAACAAAATGTAAAGCTGAAATTAAGGCAACAGTGCTCACGGAAATATGTTTCTGCCTTTGACATTAAACTTGACACATAATGGACGGTCATGTCCCGCGATTCGTAGGGTCCAAATGCCATGTTTCAAGGTCAAGTTCATTTCTGAACGACCTCACCGTTGTTTTGTTGATCATTTAGGATTATTCAAGACATATTGTAATTATATGTTAATCTACAATTTGATCAAACAGGTTCATAAGCATTATTCATTTCTATAACCTAAACACTATATGTTTATCTCAGCATTAAATCAGCATAAGCAATTAAACATACTGCCGAGACATGTGCACTTTATCATTGGGGTAGCTCGCAATGTTATCTTAGGTTAAGATTTGACTGATTGCTTTGCGGAATATTTTTTTATAGTTTCAGATATTGTGGGGCATATTTTATCCTGAGAATGCTGTTGCTGGTCCCTTGTGTTTGACTTTCATTGTATATTTTGAACGTGATGAATTCCATGAAATCCTTCACAGGTCAAGGTCAGAACGTGAGGAGCTAACAAGTATTACCGCCATAAACCACACGGTCAAAGACCTTAAGACGTGACGGTTTAATGATATACAATAGTGCAAGACACCTTTAACACAACATGAAGATTTAAAGCGATCAGTAGGAAACGATACTGCTGGCAATATGGCAGACACTGAGGCTGGACTGTCCATGTTGACTTCTGATGGTCAGGACAAAGATGGCGGTCATCCCAGGTACTTATATGGCTTTGAAGAACTTTACAGACGAAAACCATCCCAGAATAGCTTCAGAGAAAAGTGCAGCATGCGACTGAAGAAGATATGTTCCAGACAGGCCATCAAGAAGACTGTCTTGGGGAATTTTCCATTTCTGAAGATCATGCGTGGCTACGACATTCTTCGGTATTTACCAAATGATGTGATTGCTGGAATGACAGTTGGCATTATGCAAATTCCTCAAGGTAAAGCTCAGTATTTAATGTACATTTGTAACAGATTCTGATCTAGTTGATGGTGTTTCTTAGCTAATTTACTTGGTACCACCTAAGAGCCTATATTATCCGTGTTGTGTTATTGGTTCTAGCAATATTAACAAGTGCGCCGATTTCTGTCATGTGTTTACAAATATAATCCAGTGGAAGCCACGACTTGAATGTAAACCCTAGGCGGTTATACCACCACAGGTTCAAGAAGTATTTCAACATAGCATTACCTAGAATGTCTTACATCCACTAAGTCACTTATGTCCAGTGTGTCCATTTGTTACGTCCACTGAAACCCTTCGTATGTCCCCTGCGTCATTTCTTACATCCACTAAGTCACTTATGTCCAGTGTGTCCATTTGTTACGTCCACTGAAACCCTTCGTATGTCCCCTGCGTCATTTCTTACATCCACTAAGTCACTTATGTCCTCTGCATCTTTTGTTTACGTCCACTAAGTCACTTATGTCCCCTGCGTCATTTCTTACATCGACTAAGTCACTTATGTCCAGTGTGTCTATTGTTACGTCCACTGAAACCCTTCGTATGTCCCCTGCGTCATTTCTTACATCCACTAAGTCATGTCCTCTTATGTCCTCTGCATCTTTTGTTTACGTCCACTAAGTCACTTATGTCCCCTGCGTCATTTCTTACATCGACTAAGTCACTTATGTCCAGTGTGTCTATTGTTACGTCCACTGAAACCCTTCGTATGTCCCCTGCGTCATTTCTTACATCCGCTAAGTCACTTATGTCCTCTGCATCTTTTGTTTACGTCCACTAAGTCACTTATGTCCCCTGCGTCATTTCTTACATCCACTAAGTCACTTATGTCCAGTGTGTCCATTTGTTACGTCCACTGAAACCCTTCGTATGTCCCCTGCGTCATTTCTTACATCCACTAAGTCACTTATGTCCCCTGCGTCATTTCTTACATCCACTAAGTCACTTATGTCCCCTGCGTCATTTCTTACATCCACTAAGTCACTTATGTCCAGTGTGTCCATTTGTTACGTCCACTGAAACCCTTCGTATGTCCCCTGCGTCATTTCTTACACCCACTGAAACCCTTCGTATGTCCCCTGCGTCATTTCTTACATCCACTAAGTCACTTATGTCCCCTGCGTCATTTCTTACATCCACTAAGTCACTTATGTCCCCTGCGTCATTTCTTACACCCACTAAGTCACTTATGATCATGTGTCCATTCCTACTAAGTCACTAACGTCCACTGCGTCCCTATTTTGTTCAGCTATGTCCTTTCTTACGTCCACTGCAACCCATCTTACGTCCACTGAGTTCTTTCTCGGATCTACTGCAAATTCTTCTTGCTAAATCCTTACACAATAACACGCAGTGAGTCATGAGGACTATCAGTTTTAAAGTGGTAAATTAAACCCAAAGACATTAATCCCAGGTTATCAGCCGATCAGAGCCAACTTTATCAGAGTATGTATTTGTTTACCATTGATTGTGTACTCTTACCGAGTTAAAATCTTTTTGATATGAGAAGTCATTTATCGTCCATCGTAGCTACTTGGCCACATATCACAAGCACAATATCATCAAAGTTAAGGAACCGACTATTTAATATTCTGTTGGCGACAATATATGTGTTCGGTCCTTGTTTCGAAGCAATATCTATAATCTGAAGGCAATGCTGAACCATTTCTAAGCACAGCTAGCATGCCCAGCAAACATTATATTTTTTATGAAACTTAGGCCTTTTGGTATTTGGTAAGTTATTTTATGGAAGAATATACAGTTCAAGCCTCATTTCCTCGCCCGCCAATCTCATTTGATCTCATTCTAACTGGCATTGTCTTCATAATATATGAACATGAACTATTTGACTATGAAATTCTGGTAAAGACTGAAAAAACATGCAGTGACAAAATTGGTTCCCCAAAACTTATCATTTTTACTTATTTTGGACATATTTCTTTTCCTAGTGATAGGGAAACAGTTGATAGGTATATGAAACATGAGCGTACAAGCCAATGTGTCCACATTTTCCATCTCATTGTTTACACAACACACTCAAAACTGTAGAATAACATATTTCCTGGGACACAAGGTAAAGATTTACCGTCGTCATGGTTAGTGATTCAACAAATGTTGTAGTATGTGATATTGTGCATTCATATAGCGCCTAAAATTCACCTCAAAGATTCTCATTTGGCGGTAAGGACAAATTATGCTCAAAGCGCAGACGTTATTTCCATGGTAACCCAAGCTGATTGTCTGGTTAACATCCATATCCCACCGGGTACCCATTCACTGCTTGGTGAACAGAGACAATTTTTAAACAAGCTCACTCGCCTAAGGTGAGACCACATGTGTCACTCGTGCTCCGTTGTGTGAGTCAAGCTGCCAAACACGGTCACCCATCCAAGGACTCTCCATGACCAACACTCCTTAACCTGAACTGATTTGTGACTTGGGCTCTATGGACAGGACCACATAACATGCTTTTTAAATGGACTGGAAGCCTTGATACACTAAACAGAATATTATAAAAGGTAGACAATAAAAATTATTTTGAAAATAAAATACTCAATGACATTAATAAATATTTTGCCACAAGTAGGACTTCCACAAGGTGTAATATAAGTCAGTCAAGTCTTTCTGGTGTGGCATCTTTATAACCCACTTAAGAACAAATTTTCGTTTTGTCAACAAGGCCGTGCGGGACAACTGCAGCGGTTGTAGATCACAAATAGCTGAAAAGACATGTTGTGAGTGAGTGAATAGGAGACAAGTGACGCTTTTACAAGCACAACTTGAAACTTGACACCGGTTCAAACATGAAACATCAAATTATTGCATGATATTGAAGTGGCATATTTGAACAACCATATTGAAACAATTATTACATTCCTCGCCTCCTCAGGGTAACTGACTGTTCGAAATTTGGTTGTGTTCTCACAGCAGTGAATGGGTACCCGGAAGGATGGGATGTTGGAGTGACTTAAAGTCTGTCAGGGCTTTGATATGTAAGCAAATTTTGTTTCCTCCTCTAGGGATGGCGTACGCAGCACTAGCTTCTCTTCCCCCGATCTGCGGTCTCTACACATCCCTGTTTTCCCCACTTATATACTTCTTCTTTGGCTCATCCAGACATGCTTCCATGGGTAAGTAACACTCGACTGGACTCCCTCTACCACAATGGATAGCCATGCAGAGTCCCGATCCACAAGTCGTTCGTAACGTTACGACCCGTCTTTACTCTATAGTTTATCATAGGCTTACGAATGTCGTAGCTTTGTGGATCGGGACCCAGGAATCCATACTTTCGTACACGTGACTATCACGTGGAGGTGTACGGTGACGGAAGCTGAGTAAGAAATAAAGTGGGTGAGCTGTATTTAACAAACTTTATATGAAAAACAATATACACGTAGTCCACGAATAATTGTAATGCAACAGTCGGATGAGAGAGTTGAATGGTCTGAACAGTCTTTTAGTTACACTGGGACGTTTTGGGAAATATTGTTAAACAAATATCGTGCACATGAACCACTTTCGATAAACCAACAAGATCAGGCATAATACTAACAGATGAAGGTTTGTAAGTGCAGATAACTTGGATTCGAACAGAGACCGACAGCTCATTGTATAAAACTCCAATTCTATAAAATCATTTCGATAATGAGCAGAAATTAAAGTCCATTGTACGTTTCCAAAGACATCAAGAATAAGTGTTTATGGTTCACTATCAAACCGTGAAGACACCAGGTGTTCGTGAAAACTAAATATATGTCTAATTATATAAGTAAAACATTTTCACCTTATGTATAAGAAAGTCATCGAGAGATATTCCAAGGATGGAATACCTCAAGTAAAATGTGACCTAACGGCGTCACTAAGGACTGGTGTGTAGAAACCCCAGTGTCGACGATGTGAGGCCGTTTTGGCATTGAGGAGTACATGGAATGAGTGTGTGACGGCTTCCTTTAACTCTGTAAGGTCATGCTGACCTTATTTCTTACCTTATCTCAGTAGTTATTTGTGTCACTCCATATTAAGTTACCGTCAGACCAGAGAGATGGAAGATAAACAGCTTATGCTTTTGAGTAAAATGATGGTCCTCGCTAAGCTATACTTTTAATGTTTCCTGCCCACAACTGCGAAACCTTGTAAAGTTATTTGGAATTTCGTTGTTGTAGTTGTTTTGTGTGATGTGACAAAGTTCCAGCCAATTCTTGGCGGTGTTGCGTTAACATGTGAAGCTGTGTATATGTACAGGATGAGCATATTTGAAAAAACCCGATGAGACAAAATAGCATCATAGATAGGGATTAGGACGGAACGAAGGAATACATTTTGGATGGGAGTAAAGCATAATGTGAAAGACAGTGTAAAGGATAAATATGTTTTAAATAAGAACAAACAGAAAAAACGGGGATTCCGACGAATAGGTCGGTTTCCTATTATGGGCGAGGTGCATGTTTATACGTCTTATTGTTCAGATTGAACAATATGTTTATGGATTAGGTCAAAAGAATATTCAGAATATTGTTGTTGATATATTTCAAGTATTTTCACTTCAACTGTTAGTTAAATGAAAAGACGTTATTGCGATGCTTTTTTTATATAACACGTGTTTATGAACTTGAATTACTTAATTCCAATATGACAGGAACGATAGCTGTCGTGAGCCTGATGATAGCCGCTGTCCTTGACACTCGCCTAGCAGCTGACATTCCTGGAACCACCTTCAACTTTACCCAACCGGGGAACCTAACCGACCTTGACATTGAGAGGGCCACCGATTCCAGAAAGATAGAAATTGCTACAGCACTGACACTCGTGTCTGGCTTAGTCATGGTAAATGGCGCTATTCTGCAAGAACCCTGTCCATTTGAAACATTCAATTCGGCCTATACCAAGTGTAGTAGCGAGTAGTACTTTAAGGGACCGTTCATATTATATGGTGAGGGGGTGAGGCTTGATGATGATCTTCATGGAGATGCACTATGTGAATGACAACCCCCACCCCCCTAAACTTTATGTACAAAGGAAGTGACCACGCCTGCATGTCAAGTACAAAATTGCTGACACCTAACCTAGTAGACCCCCCTCCCCCCCTCATTTAATTACAACACAAGCATACATCTAGAATGAGTATAGCAGAAGTGAGGGGGTACATCTTATGCTTATCATAGGTTACATTAGAGCACATAGTGTGCTTTACTGCTGTGCCTTATACAGGGTCTGTGTCTAGCCCTGTGTCTGTTTCACGGATGTCTACCTGTTTACCTGTCTACCCTGCCCCATCTGTCTGTCTCCCTGTCAGCATATACTGTATATCATTTTGCCTCCGTGTGCCTGGCTGTCTATCGTGTTAGTCTGTATACAGTGTTTGTCCTTAACCCTGAAAAGCTGTAGGCCCTAAGGACCCAGAACTATAAAAAGTTGTGGGTCCTGATCAGAATGTGTAGGCCCTATATTTTAATATGGAAATAATTCTCTTAGTTATTTAGGATGAAAAAGCTGTCGGCCTCAAGGACCTGCAGGAAACAAAAGCTGTGGGTCCGAGTGGTTTTCAGTCGGCTTCGGCCTAACGACCGACGTTAATTTCGAACGCTGTCTGTATGTGTATGTCTGACTGTGTCTGCCCTGAAGGTCGGTCTGATTGTCTGCCTGTATGTCGTGTCTGTCTGTTTTATGGCATCCACTCTGCCATGTCTGCCTGTCCTTCTCTGTATGGATGTCCCCCGTTCCCTATCTATCTGTCTCTCAGTCCGCCTGTATGCCGTATCTGCATGTCTGCAGATCTGCAATCTGCTTGTGCGTTCTGCCAACCTGTCTGCATGTATTATATGTCTTCTTACCTGAATATTCTGTATGCCCTATCTATCTGAAGATACCCGTCTATTGTCTGCCTTTGTGCCCTTATGTCTCTCCGCTTGTATGAACCAACGCCCAATCTGTCCTACATATGTCTCTCTGTATGTATGAATGCCTTATCTGTATGCCATGTCTGTATTTCTGTCGGTGTGCCCTATTTGACTGCCTGTATGTGTGAATTCCCTGTTTATCTGCCTGTCTGTATGTATGAATTCCCTGTTTATCTGCCTGTCTGTATGTGTGAATTCCCTGTTTATCTGCCTGTCTGTATGTATGAATTCCCTGTTTATCTGACTGCATGTATTTGTGAATTCCCTGTTTATCTGCCTGTCTGTATGTGTGAATTCCCTGTTTATCTGCCTGTCTGTATGTATGAAATCCCTGTTTATCTGCCTGTCTGTATGTGTGAATACCCTGTTTATCTGCCTGTCTGTATGTGTGAATTCCCTGTTGATCTGCCTGTCTGTATGTGTGAATACCCTGTTGATCTGCCTGCCTGTATGTGTGAATTCCCTTTTTATCTGACTGCATGTATGTGTGCATTCCCTGTTTATCTGCCTGTCTGTATGTGTGAATACCCTGTTTATCTGCCTGCCTGTATGTGTGAATACCCTGTTTATCTGTCTGCCTGTATGTATGAATTCCCTGTTTATCTGGCTGTCTGTATGTGTGATTACCCTGTTTATCTGCCTACCTGTATGTATGAATTCCCTGTTTATCTGCCTGCCTGTATGTATGAATTCCCTGTTTATCTGGCTGTCTGTATGTGTGAATACCCTGTTTATCTGCCTGCCTGTATGTATGAATTCCCTGTTTATCTGACTGCCTGTATGTATGAATTCCCTGTTTATCTGACTGCATGTATGTGTGAATACCCTGTTTATCTGCCTGCATGTATGTGTGAATTCCCTGTTTATCTGCCTGCCTGTATGTGTGAATTCCCTGTTTATCTCCCTGCCTGTGTGTGTGAATACCCTGTTTATCTGCCAGCCTGTATGTGTGAATACCCTGTTTATCTGCCTGTCTGTATGTGTGAATACCCTGTTTATCTGCCTGCCTGTATGTGTGAATACCCTGTTTATCTGCCTGTCTGTATGTGTGAATTCCCTGTTTATCTGCCTGCCTGTATGTGGGAATTCCCTTTTATCTGCCTGCCTGTATGTGTGAATTCCCTGTTTATCTTTCTGCCTGTATGTGTGAATTCCCTGTGTATCTGCCAGTCTGTATGTGTGAATTCCCTGTTTATCTGCCTGCCTGTATGTGTGAATTCCCTGTTTATCTGCCTGTCTGTATGTGTGAATTCCATATCTGTTTTTTTAATGCCCTACCTGTCACCATGTTTGATGCTTTGTGTGTTTGTCTGTATGTACCTTCACAAAGAAGTTTGTCCAGCAGTGGTTGTCCGGATTAAGAAGGTTTCGCTGTATACCTTACAGATGGTCCTAGGGAAGCTCGGGATGGGCTTCTTGACGACATATATGTCGGAGTACCTCATCAGCGGCTTCACCACCGGCGTCGCCGTCCATGTGGTTTCCAGTCAGACGAAAAACGTGCTCGGGTTAAAGGTCAAGAGATTTAATGGCGTCTTCAAAGTCGTAAAGGTATGATTGGAATATGCTTTGAAATCTTGCTGCATGGTTTTATTTACTTACATGTTCAAAGAATCAAAGTGCATTGTGTAGATGTTTCTCATTGTGAGAACTTTACCAATGTAAACTGTCGGGTTTGGGTCAGTGAGATGGTTGCCCTGAGTTTAAAGCGATCACTCATGTCCAAGGCTTGGATTTGACTGTCATCATTAATTTGATACAAGAATGGAGGGGGGATGTACTGGCCTAGTGGTTAAAGCGTTCGCTCGTCACGCTGAAGACCCGGACCCGTACATGGGTACAACGTGTGAAGCCGTGGTGTTTTCCACAGTGATGTTGCCGGAATATTGCTACAAGCGGCGTAAAATCATACTCACTCACTCACTCACTGATACAAGAAAGGAAACCCCAAAAGCGAAGTTAAACCATGCTTACTCACTTACTGTCTCATTCTATGTTTTATTATCAGACGTGGATAGAGATATTGCGGAACATCGCAGACACCAACTGGATACCTTTGGTGACGTCAGCGGTCAGCATGGTCATCATATACGTCATCAAGACTCAGATTAACGAGAGATTCAAAAAGAGGCTCCGCATCCCTGTACCCATTGAACTAATAGTGGTCAGTAATGTACTCAAAAGTTGAATTATTCTTAAAAGTTGAACTATACTCAAAAGCTGAACTATACTTAAAAGTTGAACTATACTCTAAAGTGGTAGTTAACTCAAAAGTAACTGCGACCATGTCTTATGTCTCTTCTCACAATTTAATGTGTAATACGTGTTTATTGTAATTAGATTTCTAACAACATGTTCATTTCAAGTTAAGATGTGAACATCCAAATTCTGCCTGGCACTTTGTCCCATAACCTTTTATAAACTCACGGGCGAAGGAAACGTAACCAAAATGATTTTTTTATCATTTATCGTACACTAAGTGATTATTCATATCTGTAGTTTCATCATTCAGAATGTTGTAAATCCATTAATTTTCCACATATGATTGTTAAATTGCCAAAATCTGAGTTTGTTGTTTTGTGACATGTTCAAAAAAGCGAGGTGACGTTTCTTTCGCCCGTAAGTTTACATTGTACTTGAATACATCTGTATATTCCATTATGCAATAAGACTATACTTATATTCAATACACATACTATTCTTAGTTTAAGGGGTTTATTGCATATTTTTGCAAGGTATATTTTTGCATGAAGTACACGGAAACGATAGCGTAACAATTTATATATTTGACATGAGGCTTTTCCCATTCGTGACCAACTCGTGTTATTCCGGGATTTCATATTGGCGTAGGATCATCAGAACTACTTCGAAAAGGAACGATAACTCTATTCCTGTTTGATTCCAATAGTACTTAATATCACCGAAGCACACATAGATTGTCTTGCTGTTTTTGTTTTTGCTTATTCATTTTAAAGAATTAAACCTCCTTGATACAACTAAAAGAAGGAGAAGAACATATTTGTTAAAGACATATTCTGAAGTAATTATTACCAAACGTTCACCTTATATTTCCAATTATATTTCTGAAATGGTTTAATAGTAACAAATTGGATATGTTTTGTTGAATATGCAAATAAGATTTATATTAAAGAAAAAGCTACATTAAATCCCAAAATCAGAGACTCAAAAAATGACTTTAAAATATTTCTCAAACTGAACATTCGTGTAATCTTGCTGTCACACCCCAAGTAAAATTGTAAATGAATTCGCTGAAAAATATATGAAAGACCAAAAAGGTCTGACTAAAATATACCCACAGATGTGAAACACATGTCCAATATTAAAGATTAAAGTTGATTAGTTACATACAGATATAATATTATTGTGTTGAATGTTATTGTGTAGCGATTTATAAATTTCCTAAAAACTGTTGGAAGCGCAGGTACAATCACTATAACAAGCTCGCAAAATTGTCAGAAATACTCTCAGTTGGACCAGTGAGAGCCGTTATGTCAACAAACGCACGTTCGTGTATTTGAATCTCTGAGCATCAATCGCATGATTCTTATAAAAAACTTCACATTAGACAGCACAATTCTGTTAGCTACGTTCTCAGTACTTCCAATATGACGATATATATTTTTCATGATTTTTAAACAAACACATAATGCCATAACCGATTTAAGTACTGGGGATTATTTTTATCAAAGCACCGCCACCATTACGCGCGTTCTGATTGGTTTGTCGTATTTTCGCACATGATAAGCATCGATAGGGGGACGAGTCTTCTTGGAGGTTACGGAAAGGGGCGAGTGGTGACGAATGGAGACTTTCCATATGATTCTCAGTTTATCTCTTGAAGACCAAAGTATCACAGATGATGATGATATGCATGTATGCTCATAGTAATATTACTGTATTTTGGATTGTTCTGGATCAGTAATAATTTTAGAAATCAACTTTTGTCGTTGATAACATGTCCATCTGGCTGTGTACAGACCATCTGGCTGTTTACAGACCATCTGTGTGTGTACAGACCATCTGGCTGTTTAGCCAGACCATCTGACTGTTTACAGACCATCTGGCTGTGTACAGATCATCTGGCTGTGTACAGACCATCTGGCTGTTTACAGACCATCTGTCTGTGTACAGATCATCTGTGTGTGTACAGACCATCTGGCTGTTTACAGACCATCTGGCTGTGTACAGATCATCTGTGTGTGTACAGACCATCTGGCTGTGTACAGACCAACTGTGTATTTGTCACCACTACCTTGTATCATCACTTCTTTAATCGTTGCGAGGGACACACTTAACTGTGCCTCTGGTCCTTGTAACAACGTCTTGGAAACATTGGTTCTGTATCGTTCTGTTTACAGGTGATAATTGGAACGGTCGTCTCTCATTTCGCACGTTTTAAAAATGACTTCGACGTCAAAGTAATAGGTGAAATCCCCGCAGGGTAAGTAGAAATGATATATATCAAATAATACAGTTTTTTGTGTATCTTTTTTTCTTTCTTTTTTTATGTGTGTTTGTCGTCTTTTATGTTCTTGCGTACATCTGTAAAGTATTATTTGAGTGCAGTCTTTCGTATTGGTGAAAACAAGATAGTTTTCAATGGTAAAGGTCTACTTAAACTAGGTAATGAGTCTTTAAGTGAGTGAGTGAGTGAGTGAGTATTCCAACTGACGACCATCGGATACTTTTACGGTAAAGGGGCGCAACTCCCCCAGTCGGTTGCAGGGCAAGAGATCAAATAGTCTCCCATGCCACCAGTGGCAGCAGGAACCTGCATCCAAGTTCATTATGTCCACGTTATCGTCATATAGTTAAAATGACAATAATGCCCACTACATGCGTACTCTCTTGCAGTATTCCCCAACCCAAGATCCCTGACGTCAGCCTAGTGACGTCACACCTAGGAGATGCAGTCATCATTGGAGTCATAGCCTTTGCACAGTCAGTGTCTATGGCTAAGATGTTAGCGCTCAAAAACAAACAAACAGTTAATGCAAATCAGGTAAGGATTAAACAGTTATTCCCGAAAGTCCGTTTGACTTCATTTTAGACCGATGAATTGATCACTCACACAAAATCTAATAATTGCAATAAAACCAAATTTTGCACAGTCACATGAAATCGACAGACCAACTCTGATGATTTGTCTCATAATTTTGGAGACCCGAATAAAAAAGTTGTTTAACAAGCGATCATTATTTTGTTGTCACTTTTCGCTATTTCTTAGGGGGGGGTGGTTTGGGGGTTGGGGGCACTTTCTTGTAGAACAGCCAGGTAATCAACAAGCGTGTGCAGTGAAATTTCAAGTTTACACCGTACAGCTCGCACACCTGGCTGTTCTACCAGAAAGTGGTTATGCAATTCTCAGACATTTAGCCCCTCCCGTGAATTCAAAGAAAACGGGTGTGGTGCAAACATTGCTGCTATAAGCGATGGACATTTGTAATATGCGGGGTGTTGGGATAGCGTAGTGGTTAACGCGTGTGCTCGTCACGCCAAAGACCTGGGTTCGATTCCCCACATGGGTATAATTCTCCAAATAAAGACAATTTCTGGTATCCCTCGCCGTTACATTGCTGGAATATTGCTAAAAGCGGCGTAAAACGAAAACTCAATCTCTCTTATATTCACAAACAATCGCTTGGAATAGTGACTATTTCAAACATTCGAAGTTTTGATCTTTAGTTTTTCCTTTGACCATTTCTACGATGATCCATCCTATTCAGGATATATTGGATGTCACAGACGTTTTCCAATCAGTCATTGTGATTCCAGGATATGTTAGATGTCACAGACGTTTTCCAATCAGTCATTGTGATTCCAGGATATGTTGGATGTCACAGACGTTTTCCAATCAGTCATTGTGATTCCAGGAGATGTTTGCGTACGGTGCCGGGAGCGTCCTCTGTTCCATTTTCTCCGGCTACATCCCTGCTGCCTCTGTTGCGCGCAGTGTCGTGCAGGACGGTGCTGGGGGTATCACCCAGGTGAATCTTCAACAACAGCTACAGCAGATCCATCAGACCCTTTCCAAACGAATGGAACCGGGGCCTTTTATCCAACAGATTTTTAAAAAATATGCTCTGGATTATTACAAATATTGTTATGTAATATTTTTAACACAAATAGATTCTTCAGTGACAGTTCATTCAACCACACTGAGTCCATTTGTCTAAAATCCGAACATAAATGTTGAAATGTCCTCTTAAAACTATCTTGAATGAAAAGTCACACCATTTCTCCTTCCATACTCAAAATATTTGTATGAACCTGGTTTAATGGTAAAGTAAATATAAACCGTGCCATAGGAAATAGAAAAAAACCCACATAATATATTTTTATACCTTAACCTAATCAAACAACAAAAGAGCATTAATCTAAACATACTCAATTTCTTGTATGAAATCAATAAGCTGTGGTACACGTTTCCCATATTAATTAGAGCCATAATACTTTATCGTTAAAAGTGGTCGAAATCAGGGTTGTGTTGCAATCTCGTTCTGTACATACATGTCATACCAGTCATGGCTATAGTCCGTTTGGCTCAAAAGCGGACCGATGAATTGCAATCTAACTCGAAAACTAATAAACAGAAAATACTCAATGAAACACTGATCATAATCAAAACGTCAGACCAACTCTGTGAGGTTTTTGCAGAATTTATGTCCAAAAATTAAAAAAGTCGTTTAAGAAACTATCATTAAAATATTGACACAGTTCACTATTTGTTACGAGGGAGGAGTGCAGAGAAAGGGACAGCCAGGTGTTCGAGAAAGGATGGAGACGGCACAGCACAGGTTTATGAATCAATAACTTTGTCGGTACTTGTGCTCGTGCTTCTCTAACACCTGGCTGTTCCTTTCTCTGTACTCCTCCCTCGTAACAAATAGTGAACTGTGTCAATATTTTAATGATAGTTTCTTAAACAACTTTTTTGGTGGGGTCCGTAAAATTTTCAAATATAAGAAAGCTGTTGGGTATTAGTAAATGATAAACATGCGTACTATTTATATTTTTGTGGCAATTTTGTACAATGATAACATTTGCAATTCATCGGTCCGTTTCTGACTCAAACGAACTGTAGTCTGTAGCTGATTGCTGTTGTCGTCACAGATTGCCTCCCTGGTAGGGTGTTGTGTAGTCCTGGTGGTTGTCATGGCTGTTGGACCACTCTTCTACTCCCTCCCCTCAGTAAGTACATATAGGATTTATACTTTCATACTACGTGTTATCGTGCCTTGGTTTGGGGCTACATGAATACATCATCTCTCATAAGCTACTGCCTGAAGCATATTGTTTGTTTTTTTCTCAAATGCAAAATTACATTCCATTTCCGCTAAATTTTAATTTCGAAATTGCTCTTTTTTCATATGACCCATTCTGGTGACCAGAAAGTCAGTGCAGTTAAAACATAAGTCAAGAGGCGATGTTCTTACACAGAATGAGAAACGGGAATGATTTTTTCATATGGACAAATAACAAAACTGTTTTTCAGTAATTATCTTCAAATCGACTCTGATAACAATAGCTATTTTTCTACATTACCTGAGGACTACATTTTGTCATGGAAATCCCTTGCAACATATTTTTTATGTCTAAGAAAATTGTGAAATAGATTGTGTCTAATTGTTTCAGTGTATCCTGTCCTCTGTCATTATCGTCAACTTGAGAAGCATGTTCAGGCAGCTCTTGCAGCTCCCAGTGCTGTGGAGGAGGTCAAAGTGGGATTTTGTAAGTTTATATAGGGAGAAATTGAAAACATCCATGAAATGTTTCAGTAACAGCAAAGACGTTGGTTTAACGTAGCTGTTTCGACAGGGAGCCAGAAGCAAATGTTTTCATATTTACACTGTACAGATGAACATGGTGGAGTTGATACCGTTTACAACCGTTATGTCTTATATGGTCAAGGTGACGTTTCTTTGATAAATGTATCAACACATGCTCCGGGGTGTCGGAAATGTTTAATAAATGTACTTTCATGTGTTAGGGGTGGGTATTGCAGAGAATTTTCATATTGCGATATATTGCGATGCGAAAGCATATATTGCGATATGTATTAGCAAAAAAACCCTACTTATAATCGAATTAATGCTTGATTTATAAGCAAAAACACAAAAAATGACTATGCTTGATTAAGCTTAGTTTGATAAAAATATAAACAATAGTTGCCACAAATAAAAAGGAAAGGAAGCATTAAAAAAACGGAAACATCCGAAGATTTCCGACTGTTACGAACTTTTCCGAAATGCATGTCAAAATACCGGTTTTCGATCAGCGTATCGCAATATGTATCGTTTTCATGTCTGAACCGGTAAATACCGGTAAACCGTTTATATTGCGCAGCCCTATCATGTGTACCTCAATGGCGAAAGTGTTTGATATTACAGTTTCTAAAATGTCTATGGGAGTTATATACTTTAAAATATTTTAAAGTATAGCTACTTTCGACTGTTGTCTCAATCTATTTTGTTGGATCAATATCAAATATACCCCCAAAATGAATATGACAGATATAATCACTCTCGATCAGCGTTTTTATATAAACGTTAAAATCCTAACTGTGCTTAATATATTTTGCTTGTTTTCTTTAGTTATCTGTTTACTATTTTAGTGGTTATTTTGTGCGACAACTCGGCTCGTGTATAACCATACTTGTGTCATCTCCCTCAGAGTATATGGGTGATAACTCTCATGTGTGTGATCCTGTTGGATGCTGACGTCGGCCTCGGGATCGGCATCATCTTCTCCATCCTCACCGTGGTGTGCAGAACCCAGAGGTATGGTAACATCGTACGAGTTTTCTCCCACTGGTTGTGTAGCATTACTGAGTTAACACTACTGGCTGCAGGGTTGGTGTGTAGTTGTCAAGTAGAAACACTATCTCCTTTTGCAGACATCTTGCATGTCAACACATTGTATATAGGTTTTGTTTATTTCGTGATTTGGGTGTATTTTGAATTTGTTGATTTTTCAACGTCACTCGTTAATGATTCAATTCCTTTGTTGTTTAATGACCATTTCTGATGTCTCCTTGCCGTGATATTGCTAGAATATTGTTGAAAGCGGTGTTAAACTAAACTCAGTCCCTGTTCAATCTATGGCTAGTCCTGCCCGACTGGGGAACTAGTCACAAGCACTTGCAGGGGCAGGATAGTTTTTCACTTAAATAAAAAGTTAAAGAAAACACGGGAATATATGATACAAGTCAGTATAACATTTTAAACACTGGTGGGTATAAATTTAAAATATCGTAACATGTTTACCATGAATCTTTTTAAAGCTTTATTGTGACGTTCTTTTCCAATCTTCGTAGAAAGAACATCACACAAATAGTTGTCATATGTTGACACCAAAGACTCGAGCTGCAGGAACCTTGCCAGTCATGAACAGAAACTTGACAGTTAGATATTTGATGGTAACCTTTCCTACAATATACACTCTGCATTGTTGAATAGTTTCGAGAATCACAGACAGAAGCCTTGTGTCCGGATCAACTAAATCTGAATACGAAACAATGAACATAACCTATTCTGGTGAATTGTGATTTCTCCAGGGTTTCGTTGTTGATAATTGTAGACATATGCCTTCTTTCAGATCTGGTTTCACATTAAAAGGCGAAGTAGATTTAACATCGCAGTACAGATCAAAGAAGAGGTACGAATGTGTGAGTAGCGTTTGTTGAAGATAATCCCAACTGCTTTCCTCTCACCCAGACCTGAGACGGCCGTAGCCCTACGATCACATTGTGCAACATGGCCATGGGTCATGGTGGTCATGGTGGTCATGGGTCATGGTGGTCATAGTGGCCATGGGTCATGGTGGTCATGTGTCATGGTGGCCATGTGTCATGGTGGTCATGGTGGTCATGGGTCATGGTGGTCATGATGGTCATGGTGGGCATAGTGGTCATGGTGGTCATGGTGGTCATGGGTCATGGTGGTCATGGTGGTCATGGTGGTCATGGTGGTCATGTGTCATGGTGGTCATGGTGGTCATGGTGGTCATGGTGGTCATGGTGGTCATGGTGGTCATGTGTCATGGTGGTCATGGTGGTCATGGTGGTCATGATGGTCATGGTGGTCATGGTGGTCATGGGTCATTGTGGTCATGGGTCATGGTGGTCACGGTGGCCATGGTGGTCATGGTGGTCATGGGTCATGGTGGTCACGGTGGCCATGGTGGTCATGGTGGTCATGGGTCATGTTGGTCATGGTGGTCATGGGTCATGGTGGTCATGGGTCATGGTGGTCACGGTGGCCATGGATCATGGTGGTCATGGTGGCCATGGGTCATGGTTCGTCATGGTGGTCATGGGTCATGTTGGTCATGGGTCATGTTGGTCATGGGTCATGGTGGTCATGGTCATGATGGTCATGGTGGTTATGATGGTCATGGGTCATGGTGGTCATGGGTCATGGTGGTCATGGTGGTCATGGGTCATGGTGGTCATGGGTCATGGTTTGTCATGGTGGTCATGGGTCATGGTGGTAATGGTGGCCATGGGTCATGGTGGTCATGGGTAATGGTGGTCATGGTGGCCATGGGTCATGGTGGTCATGTGTCATGGTGGTCATGGTGGTCATGTTGGTCATGTTGGTCATGGTGGTCATGGTGGTCATGTTGGTCATGATGGTCATGGTGGTCATGGTGGTCATGATGGTCATGGTGGTCATTGGTCATGGTGGTCATGTTGGTCATGGTGGTCATGGGTCATGGTGGTCATGGTGGTCATGGTGGCCATGGTGGTCATTGTGGTCATGGTTGTCATGGTGGCCATGGGTCATGGTGGTCATGGTGGCCATGGGTCATGGTTCGTCATGGTGGTCATGGTGGTCATGGGTCATGGTGGTCATGATGGTCATAAGTCATAGTGGTCATGGTGGCCATGGGTCATGGTGGTCATGGGTCATGATGGTGATGGTGGTCATGGTGGTCATGGGTCATGGTGGTCATGGTGGTCATGGGTCATGGTGGTCATGGGTCATGGTGGTGATGGTGGTCATGGTGGTCATGGGTCATGTTGGTCATGGGTCATGGTGGTCATGGTGGTCATGGTGGCCATTGGTCATGGTGGTCATGGTGGTCATGGGTCATGCTGGAACTGTAGACCTGGGCCATGAGCCGCCATAAAAGGAACGAGTTCAGGGGTGACGTAGGACGATTTGACGGTCTTCTGCTCGTGACGTCACACGTGGACGACCCGACCTTGGGCGATCAGAAGTGGTGCCAGTTTGTTGTAGACGACCTCGCAAGTCATACACAGTACGACGGCTGCATCCCATCTTGCGACGTCAATAACTGATCTTACCGCTTGCAACATGCCAACGGCACGTTCACGTTGCACATTTGTTCTTAGTCATTCAATTTTGTTAAAAAAAATTAATTTTTTTTTTAATAAAATCTCACTTACATTCCATGATGTCTGTGTCATTCGCTTTGAACGTATTTGCCATAACCCTTTAACAGTATACATACATTTGACAATGATTTGTTAGCCAGTCGCAACTTAACCCTTTGTGTAAGGCATACTTGTGTTAACACCCATATGTATGTGAACATTGTCATTGTTTGTTTGAACTCAGAATTGTTGCTCATTCGCTACTCATTTGTATCCATTGTCAGTGAATACACCCCTGCTTGTAACCTGATTTGCTGGAATAAATAAAAACAAAAACAAACCTTCCTACATAGAGTGAATTTCATACTAAGATCGAATACTTACCAAGGCGGCCTAAGGCCAAACTGACATACTGGCCCACTAGCGATATATTAGTATCTAACAACAGATGGTATAAAAAATGCTTGACAGACAGCTCTTTCCTTTGCACTAACAGACTAACATGTACATTGTTCTGGTTAAACGACACACCGTAATGCGTTCTCCGCGGCTTTCAGTCCTGTTTTAGCTGCCGGATCAGATAAGCCCAACACTGCCCATTAATGGTCTGACCTTTAGGGCGGTTGTCCACAGTAGGATCCCAGGATCCCAGAAAACAAACACTATCACCTTCACAACTGATGGAATAGACCGTACCTTCTTCAGGGGACTAGACGTCAGAGCTTTCCATTGCATTCGCTGTTGTTAGGCCTCTGGTTATTTGTCTGAAGTCCTTTTCTAAAAGACGTACATTCTCCCAAGAGATGAAGAACCTAGATGGTTTCTGATCAGGAGCTGGAAGCCATGAACGCAGAACCTTGAAACCTTCTTTGTGCCCAATTCATTTGTCAACTCTTTCCTAAGAGTCTTACTCTTTTGGCTTTGTGACGTGTGCTTCATCGTCTATCAGATACAAACATATCATGTATTTTATGAAAAGAAATTCTAAGTGGTGGCAGTTAAAGGTATTCTTGGCTCCCTCTTCGCCTCTTGAAGTTCTCTGGCCACCATTTTATCCCAGATATAGACGTTTGGTGACAGATATGGGTATCGTGCAGGACATGTCACTGGTATTGTGATTCACCAGTGGACAGGCCCTCTCTTTACAATAGTAAAATTCATCGCAAAAAGTAAATATGTGAGATTTGCTTTTTGGAACTTGAGTCATGGTGGCGATGTTATCGTTGTGTTCTGTTGAACTGAAGTCAAACTGCAAAGTACACGATACAAGCATTCCAATGGATTGTCATAGTCATTTTCACTGATGTGTGTCATAAGTAGTGGTTTCCTGAATTAATATGGTATTTGATATGTCCTTGTATACAAAACATCTGAAATAATGTTTCCAGGATGTATATTATTTCTAACAGTTAACATATAACAGCAGTGAGATTTTTCCTTGGTTGCGTTTCTTCAAACCCTTTTATAACGTTTCCAGTGGTTCAAATTCCAAAAGCTTAACCTTGACCATGTGGGCAGTGAGACTAATGATCTTGCTGTTTCAGAGCGTTCTTTGATATAATTGGTCATTATGTACATATCTTACAAACAGATAAATGATTATCAAAACCCTCACTACTCAGTACGAGAAAAGTAACACAACTCCACTAAATTCACACGGCTGACACATTTTCGGATATAATTCAGGCTCATGAGAGTAGTTTCTTTTCAACTTCAGGTAAAGATTCCCCCCAGGCATGGTGATTTTGACGTTTGAAGCGCCTCTTTACTTTGCAAATTCGGAACAGTTTGTTCTTAACTCTTTCACTGATTCTGGTATCGATCCCATGAAAATAAAGAGGAAGAGGGCAGCCCTGGAAGCTGAACAAAGAAAAAGGGAGAAAAGGAAACAGGTATTTAACATTGATGAACAATACCATAATGGGTAGCATTAGTACCTGTCTTTGATGGCACATATCAAGCACATTGAAGGAGGGAGAAAAGAGAAACAGGTATTTAACATTGATGAACAATACCACAATGGGTAACAGTAATACCTGTCTTTGATGGCACATATCAAGCACATTGAAAGAGGGAGAAAAGGAAACAGGTAATTAACATTAATGGGTAACAGTATCATTGGTAGTTGATGGTAAATGTCAAGTCCATTGAAATAGTAAGAAAAGAAAACAGGTCTTTAAGATTAATGAGTAGCAGTAATGCTTGTATCTGATGACACAGGTCAAGCCCATTGAAGAGAGTCAAAAGGGAAGGGAGTATGCAATGAATGTTAACGTTTTTTAAGTCAGCAATATGAAATCTCATCACGGGGATGTTAATCATCGTGACAGGATCATCCAAATGATGGGTGATAACATGAGCACCAAATATATTGTTCCAATCATGACAAACAAAGCGATTGTATTTTGCTCGATACCTTCAATAGAGTACAAACACGACCATTCGGAAGGTGAAATTCGAAGGAACCACGGAGGAGAATGGAATGCCGATGGAGCCAGAATCTCAGAATGTCTCCCATGTCACCTACATTATCTTGGACATGACAGGGGTAAACTTTATTGACACCATGGGTGTTAAAGCATTGTCCAGGGTAAGTAGTAATATACTCCTAAATGAATTAAAATAATATAAGTATTGGTTTTGTATTTTTGCCGCGAATATCTACGTCTAAACTATTATTTCCCGACCTCTAATTAATGTTTGCAAGTTGTTGATGGAATGCGTGAGTGAGTGAGTTTAGTTTTAGTGAGTGAGTTTAGTAAATTTTGGTGTCCCCGCCATGGTTTTGCTGGAATATTGCTAAAAGCGGCGTAAAACTAAACTCACTTATCCATGCATGATTGTTGTTTTCTCTGCGTGTGTGTTGTGAATGTCAACGCGTGTACATTCCAGACTATAACCTTCCATCTTCATCACCTGATGAAGGAGTTAGAATATACTCCGAAACCTGATGAAGGAATTTTCTCCGAAACGTCGTGTTCCCCAAAATACAGAAGCTGACACCCATAGTCACCTCCTCCCTCCCCATATGTGTATAGTTCCTAATTGCAATCAAAATCAAATATTACATTCACATATATGCACACTATAGTGCAAGGCAATTTTAAATGAAGATGTAGCCAGAATAATTAGTACATATTTCCTTAAAGTATTTTCCAAATATTTCCAGGTTATGGCAGAGTTTGAGTCCGTGGACATCAAAGTATTGATTGCTGGTTTGAGAGGTAGGCATGTTTGCCCAGTTCTGTACAAAACGGTTCACGTTTCAATTCAAACTGACTAAACTATTTGCGTGGATTATATTGCAGGAGCACTGTTGTGCGTGTCCAGGTATATTTGTATGCAAATTCCGTCAAGTATGTGGCGGATGGTAATGGTAGAGTAACTTTGGAATCTGTTGTTTTGATAGTTTCAGATATTGCTAAAAGCGACTTTAGATCATTTCCCCCTCACTAACTCACCCATCCACTCGCAATGGTGACACTGAGGACCACACAGTCCCATCATACATGTAGGTCTTGTTCACTTTTAAATGAGTGTATACTTTTTTCAGGGTTTACTGTTTTCTTATTCCCATTTTCTGCAATTCCTTCATCCAATGTCTGTAGTAGGGCCATATTTAACATATATGTTACAGAGGAAGTACTAGATATTCTACAGACCAGCGACTTCATCCCCCAACACAAACACCAACTGTTCTTGGACATGTCTCACGCCCTCCACTCTGTCGACAGCACCATCGCCTTTTAACCATTGGTTTTCAGCACTTGGACATTTTATTTTGTCTCATATTGAAGACTCAGAATGTTCACACAGAAATGTAGAAGGTATTCCTATCTGTCGAGACATGTAATGCCCAGACTTTGTGATGAGAAAATACCGGACGTAAAACATACTGTGAGACCAAATGACGAAAGACATTCCTCAGTGTGATACCGATATCTGTATTATCTATGGAAGACTCCAACAGGTACAGAATACCGGCGCCAGAATGCTCAGCAGGACCAGAAACAGATCACATATTTCGCCAGTTCTGAAACCCTTGCATCAACTGCTGATGCAAGCAAGAATAGAATTCAAGATGCTTTCTCACATCTGTCGTTTTCATCAAACAGGTCAAAGCCATATGAGGCTGAACGATCACTGCTCGATATCTTGAGAACGCAGAAACATCATATAAACAATAAATCGTTTGGGTTCCGTCCCTAAAGCTGCTCAGATCCAGTTCGGTACAACTAGCTGCCACATGATACCCGGATATCCCGCTCTTTCCAACACAAGCTTTCTTCAGTTCGATTGATACATGTTCCTGGTGTTAAAAAACATATACTGTGTATAATATCATGTAGCGTTCTGTGCCGATACTTAGTATCTACAGTTTTTAGATTATATTTTTATAACACATTTGTTGTTATTGTACAGATGAATATATAGTTTTAGCAATGAAAGATAGGGTTATCAGGTTCGTTGACTTGGTTGACACATGTCATCGTATCCCAATTGGGTAGGTCGATGCTCATGCTGTTGATTACTGGATTGTCTGATCCAGACTTGATTATTTAGAATTATTTAGGGACCGCCGCCATATAGCTGGAATATTGCTGAGTGCGACGTAAAACTAAACTCACTCACTCAGCAAGGGGGGCTCGGATGATCCTGGCACAGTCAATCAGGGGAGGTTGATCATCAGGTCAGGGTCCTAGCCCGCTGTACATGTAGTCAAGAGAACGATTGGTACTTCTTCAAGGAAACGCTGGCTAGTGGAACCCTCCAGTAACATTTGGGAGAATGTGAAGCCTCCCCGACAATGCAACCTTCCACATTACCCATAGTGTCAGAAGGGCTGAGTTCCTGGCAGCAGACCCGATACCCTCTCAATGTTATTGAATACATTGGTAAGTATCAAACCTAAGGCATCGAGGACTATGGGCAATGCACTTTCATGATTCCATTAAAACAACATTCATTCAGCATATGTCTTTTGAGAACGGTGTTGTGTGAAATCCGATACAAATCTTATCTTCTGTACGATTACTATTTGTGGCATTTTTCCTGAATCACAGTTCTTCAACTCGTTTCACCGCGAGAGTTTCTTCTCCGAATAGCCATGTTTCTACAACATTTAACACAATTAGTCATGCATGTTCATAGAGCGACTGAAGGGTTTAATGCCGCTTAGTACTGTAACATCATCCCAGTTGTCACATGTCAGCGGTATATAGGAGGAGAGCCGCGCCTGATGCAAGTCCCAGATGTTACCACTTTTGGAAACCTACAAGCAAAGGTATGGTGCTGACAAACCAAGAAATATAATCAGGATTCGAACCCAGGATTACTGAATTCCAATACAGAATATTGTGGTGCAGCAGGCGACCTGACGTAGGGATGTGATTTGGAACACTCGTCATTACCCCACTCGTAGTCCGTGTTGGGATATTCCATGACTAAACAATGCTGATTGGATCCTACATTGTTTGGTTGCCCTGGATACCAGTTGGTATAGCCAATGGCTTGAGGAACTGCCATACCTGTCCATTTGAAGTTGCTATCGTTGTCTTCGTCGTTGCCCGATGTGAAGAAGCCGGAACTACCAGCCGCCGTCAGGACTAGGAAGGAAATCGTCTGAGTGAGTGAGTGAGTGAGTGAGTGAGTGAGTGAGTGAGTGGAGTATGGATGAGCGTGTGGGTGTTAGAAATTTAAAAGCCATAACTTCAACTAAACTACAACTTAATAATAGCAACTACTTATTTGCAGAAATAGAGTGAGTGAGTGATTCTTGGTGTAATGGGTGGTAGAGTGGATGAACCGGAATCTCAAAAACGGCTGTGATAAGGTAGTAACTACTGCAACGTCCACAGCTAACTACCCATGCTTCCCAACTGCTATTTCATGAATATTATCACTGTGAAATAACCCAAAAATCCAGCCACACATCAGGGCTGGTATTCAAAAGGTTACCAGCCCAAAATCGATTTAAGCAAACCAAATATGGTGAACTTACTTAGATGTATGGAACATCTAACATTTTTACCAGATCATCGAACTGGCTAGCTGTAAATTTAGACCGTCCGTCAGAAATCTAGCCCGTCTCGAGCGGACGGACGGACCTTACTTCATACACTGATATTATACTAATAAAAAAAACCCGTGATGATCGGGGTTAGAACTGGTCTACAGTAACCCATATTTGTCGTAAGAGGCGACTAACCGGATCGGTTGACACGTGTCATCGTATTCCAGTTACGTAGATCGATGATCATGCTGTTGATCACTGGACTGTCTAGTCCAGACTCGATTATTTACAGACCGCCGCTTATAGCTGGAATATTGCTGAGTGTGGCGTTAAACAACAAAACAACCAACCAACCAACTACCGAAAAAGCTATGTCCAGCTCAATGGCGGACAGGGATTCAAATGAAAACAAGTAGATAATCGGTGTTGTTAAAACACTTTCCATAACATATTGTTTTGAAGCATATTTCTAAAAGTAACCATCAGTTGCAAGTATTCCAATACTGTCTGCTCTACTCCTCAAGTGTGCAATCTGCGAACATTGCCTGGGAAGTATGGATACATTCAGTCGTACTTAGGTATAATACCGCTTGGACAGTATTTCAGTTATATACTTCTCACACTTTACTAAGGATCACAAAAATTCGCAACTTTATTTAAACGTAGATTTATAATTAGAAATTGTATCAATTTAAAACTGGATAAATAATGATATGGTAACACATCTTTAGGAAAACAGCCGCTTTAAGCTATCCGTATGGATGGTTTTCATGGCACCAATCAGCCATTTTGCAAATCATGGTACGGTCATTGATAAGTACACAACACCTGTCAATAGCAGTCATGGGATCCACCAGATGAAATGACATACTGAAAACTTGGATCCATGCTTACAATAGGCTTAGCTATTTAAACCAAATTTGACCCCACATCTTAGTTTTCGGTTGAATCAATGATTTGATCCTTGGCAAAGTGTGAATAGTATATCACGATATCACGGCGAGTCTGCTTGACGTGGGATGTCACACACAAAAACAACAACAATAAAACAAACCAAAACAACAACAATAAAACAAACCCAAACAGCAACAATAAAACAAACCAAAACAACAACAATAAAACAAACCCAAACAACAAAACAAAACAAAACAACAACAATAAAACAACCAAAACAACAACAATAAAACAAACCAAAACAACAACAAAAAACACAAACCAAAACAACAATAAAACAAACCAAAACAACAACAATAAAACAACCAAAACAACAATAAAACAAACCAAAACAACAATAAAACAAACCAAAATAACAATAAAACAAACCAAAACAACAATAAAACAAACCAAACAACAATAAAAAACAAACCAAAACAACAATAAAACAAACAAAAAAACAAACCAAAATAACCAAAAAAAACCCAATAAAACAAACAACAACAATAAAACAAACAAAAACAACAACAACAAAACAAAACCAAATAATTTTTTTTAAATTCCAGCCCTGTCCTAATACTGGAACTGCAGACACCATTCTGATTTGCTCTAACCTTTAACCCATAAACCCCTTTTGATTTTTGTCTCACTGCACCTGGGTCGTTCTTGATGATGTTGACCAGAAACTGTTCTTCCTCAGAGTCGATTGCAACCAAGTGAGAAGCCGGGTTCGCTTCTTTACATGCCTTAGCACAGTTTTGCCATGTTGCTGATGTAGAATGGAAGGAGTAGCAGGAACGACTGCCGTTCCCTATTCGGCGATATGTACCGGGGGGACAGCCATGGACACCTGGAAATCAAATACTACTTTCAAATCAAACACTGTTTGGCGCCGGATAGGCTTACGTCATAAGTGAACAGCCTACGTGTATGTAATTGGTACCTGTGTATCATAATGATCAACGTGCAGATCTGCCTTCTTCCAACTCTTTAGGATCAGCGAGATCAAGACATACCTTGACAATGACAGTCTGAGGACAGTTATCCAAGTTTATGTCACATCACGTCTTGACTATGGAAATGCCCTGCTCAATGGGACTACTACCGCTAACCTCAAACTACTGCAACAAGTACAGAACAGTGCTGTGAGGATGCTGACTGGTACCAAGAGAACTGACCATATCACCCCTGTCCTGAAATCACTCCACTGGCTACCCGTAGAGCACCGAATCACTTTCAAGACTATTTCTATCACGTATTCAGCAATAAATGATGAAAACTCACCAGCCTATATCAAGGGCATGTTACATCGCTACCAACCAACAAGAGCTTTAAGATCAGCCGATGATAAACTACTTCATGTTCCTAAAACTAAAACAAAGATTGGTGAAATGGCTCTATGCTTTGCAGCTCCAAAACTTTGGAATACTCTACCACTGGAAATTGGAAGCTGTCCAACAAAACTCATCTCTTTTCCGCTCACTTGAACAAGCGCCGTTGAGCAGTAATATTTAATCTGAAAACCAGGCGCTATATAATCAATTATATCATTCCTTCATTCATAATGTTATGGCGAGACGGGAGACCTCGTCATACATGCCACCGCAATCAGAAATGAAGAGTTGCCTCTCCTAGGCGTACCAGGAACCTCTGATCGTGGTTGAACCCGAGATTTGCTCTTTTATAATGTAACTTTGCCATCGTGATCTAGATAATTCTGACCTTTATCCCTTATAAAGTTCACGAGACATAGTAAATTTGCTTAAAACAGCATCAAACGAAACTCGCTTACTGTCACTCATAACGGAGGTAAGCTGTCAATTATTTTCAGAATCGGAATGCAACGGTTAAGAGAAGAACAGTTACAAATAACGGGAGGGGTCAGGCATCTCAATGTATATTCAGAAAACTGCTATTGCTGAAAGGTGCTACTTCACTGCGTATAAACTACACAACGTTTCATAGGGATACTGGTATAGGTCCGTCTCCTATTCTCGCGGGATTCCTATTCTCGCGGTAAATACGTTTTCTGCCGAAATCGCCAATGCGTGAAACTCAGCGGTTGTTACATCACCGACTGGTAACTATAGGAAGTGGACCAAGTCGGTGAATGATCAAAATCTTGCAGTGTCACGAATATTGGGGAGTTTATACCAACTTGGACATATCATTACTTTTTCCCACCCTTTCCGGCAGGATGACTCTTACATACACTCAATAACGTTAATTCCTGGTAATACGTCGAGAATAGGAGAAGCCTCATTTCATCAATGGCGGATGGCATTCTTTATCACCGGGCTGACGAGTGGTAATTCACCTGATGGATCTGGCAGCTGATAGATGCAGATGTTAGAGGAGAAGGCCCTTCATTTAAAAACAACAAGCATTCATACGATAAGAATTGTTTGTGTTAATTTTTCAGCCGATATCCGTAAGTACCGCGAGAATAGGAAACGCCTTCCTATATGGAAGCATTTCTGGACTAAAACATCTAAAACATCAAACATTTTATTGGTAAATAAACGAACTAGAATATACCTTTTACAAATTGGGTAGTTTAAATACCCCATCGTTTAAATTGTATTAAAAGTAACTGATGAATGAGTGTGGCTGAAAATGACTTTATGAGTATTCCAGAAAATATCAGGAAAGGGGGCATCAGAATTGTATGGAATCCTAGAGGAGACATGTTACAATTTGGCAATAGAACTCGAGCCTTTGACATGATGACCGAACGTTATGCCATTAGGCTCTCCAGCCAACCTTATAAAAGAAAACAAGGCAGAAAAAGGTTTTCGACGTGTTATGTCCCTTACATTACTACATTAATACAACCGTGGTGACTAAAACTGATCTCCATAAACCTGGACTGCCCCTATCTTTTCTATATTTTGCAAAACGCAACTAACATTTTCTTGTTTCAACTATGACCAATCAAGATCATTAACGTCCTACTTACTTTGACACGTTGTTTTGTAGATGTAAATGTCGTCGATAGCGATGTTTCCACGAAAGTCATGGTAGTTTTTCCCAAAGACGTGTTGGTAGTAGCTTAGCGATGTTCCTTCAAAAACCACCTGTTCAAAATAAGTTAAACATTAGCCCTTAACTATGACAGTTTTTGAGTACTTTGAATTATTTCCTCAATTCGTGTTTTGTTTTTTATAAATCGACCTTTACCCTCATTTCAATATTTTTCGACATTTCCAGTGTTTTCAATATGTTTCCGTCACTGTCTCAAAACTTCGCGTAAATTCGATTATTGTCTTAATATTTCAAGTATATTTCAAAACTCGAAAATTCGAGAATGTCTTCCAAATTTACTGCATGAGGCTAACTGAAAGTTACTCAAGACTCGTTAGATTCCATTCCATGTCGCATGCCACTATTATTACGTCATATCATCTATAACCGCGCAAACATATGCTCAGCTGAAGAAAATTGTCACATTTCCAAATCCTTTCTCCGGCACAACACTCTGGTAATCGATTTCTATCGTCTTTTCAGTCCAAAATGCATTGTTACACATACTGGGAATATTATAGTAACCACACATCTCTAGTTGGTAATTTATATTTGCACATTCATTTTCAAATGCTCACCTTCAGTTACAGAAGTATATAAAATAGTAATTCACGTAATACAGGTAATATATCAATCAATCCGAGGTCGTTATTGTAATTTTATACCTTTGATAGACCAATCAAAATTCAGTGTTTTCCAAATGAACCTCAACGTACTTTGAATGGCCTTGGAGTGTACTCTGGACCGATGTCAACCTCTCCAAGCTGCCAACTCGGGGATATGTCGCCAGATTGCGTCCACACAGGTTTTCCCATACCGTTGCCAATCTGAGACATGACCGTGTACAACAGGTAACACTCTGAGACATGAACGTGTACAACAGGTGACACGAAGATATGCATGAGGGTACTGGTTTGGACTGAGCAAAAGGTAGAACCACAGCTACAATGTTGTACACATGCTTTCACAAAGACCCCAAGAGACTCCACTAGCAGCTTTCTACTCTCTCACAGTCACCCATGACCTATCCAAACTCATTAAGACAACAGTGTAATAAGTAGAATTTAGTTTCAATACAATCTGAAAGGAAGATTTGCAAGTTATTTTCCGTTGGGATGATGTAAAGATCAGCGACACTATTTTCTCAGTTATTATTACTTTGATATCGATACTCATATTTATGATTTTCATTAATCATTAAGAGTAGACTGACAGGGCCACTGTCCTCGTTGTGGTAGTGTTTAAGGACCTTGGGGACAAAGGGTCATCACACTCACTTTCACATACACGTTGAGACCCTGTATGTCCGGTCCATTCATGTTGTACCAGAACTGGACACAGTAGTTTGGTGAAGGATTGAACATAGGCGACTCTAACAGGGCGGATGATTTCCTCTTGTAAAATGTTGCTGATTTATAGGGATCTATGTACATGTAAGATCCTGTGAACATTGAAAGAAGGAATCACATGTACATGTCTCTGGGTGATCTGAGGCCACCACCTACAGGAGGTGACACAGAACCACCAGATATCTGCATCAGTGGTATGTCCTAAACTTTCCAAAGTCTCCTAGAGAATTGTAGTCCCGACAACCCACTCCAAATGCCAAGATTCTCCCTTGAAGTTTCCTAAACTTTTATTTCCTTTCATAAGCACACGCGGAAGGTATGTTCAACACAAATGTGTCCCAAATATACCGTGACACTTACAGCAAAAAATCTTTCAAATCAACCAGTGCGTTCAAAGATGTTATAAATTTTAAGTACTTGTCTAAAAGAGTGGAAACATTTTTTTAAACCAAACCCGCAGCAGTGCCAATTGTATGATCATTCCAAGGTCCTGTGAGTGGGCTCATCCTCCCCCTGCCCTTGTACCACGTGGCGGTGTTGGTCTTAGATTGGGTGTAGCTACAATTGGTGCCCTCGAAGTCACAGAAGGTCAAGTTGTAGTTCTCAACTGAAAGTGTTTGAGTGAGTGAGGAAATTTGTTTTAAGGCAGCTTTCAGTTCTAATTCAGTTTATGTCAGTCCTTGTAAGATGAATGTGTGAGAAAAGCCTTAACAAATCTTATTGTGAGAACTACTTCCGTTTGACCACAGTGATGGCGGATCATAACAACAACTCCATGGATTTTGACGCTGACTTTCGAATTTTACACATAGGCAATTGGAAATTTTTGGATTAAAAATGCGTTTGATTTCATTGCGATTCACTGCGTACGTATAGAACACTGCCGCACTACTTCACCTTGACCACCAACATGACTAATATCAACACAACAGACGTGATGGAAATCCTAATGAAACATTTATTAAACTCGAAAAAATACAGTTATATGATTCCGCCAGCCCCAATTATGAGGGAACCTCACTATCATATTACTTTCTAATATAAATATATTTAAACTCAATTACAATACACAGCCCCAAACATAAACAAAACAATATCTAACATATAAACCAGAAAGCCTTGTAAAAATACATCCCTATCTATACAAAATATGCAGCAAAACATGAGTAAACATTTACCTACCTGGTAAATGGTATATTTAATTCCGTTTAGAATGGGAAATGTGCAAGATAGATCTAACACATTTATGCCACTCATAGTCATACTCCATCATATCCCGTTGCATCGTTCACAAAATAATTCTGCTCTCTGCCAGCTCCCCCGCAAGGTTGTCACTGTTATGTTCATCTACTTTGAAAAACGCTTGGACACAGTCCAGTCCCAAACGATGAAAACGAAGTTCCAAGGAATCACAAGTTAGTCACATGTACACTAAGCAGCAGCACTGTGACTCCTTTGTCGCATGCCGGGGTGGAGGCAGTACGTGAAATCATGATCGGCCGGTCATAAAAATCAACAGTCTTTGATGAGTTACAGGTCGTAGGTTGATCAGGAGAGGATCGATTCTTCGATTCTGCAGGGTTCAGATTCAACAGTCAGTCAAGTATTGTCCACTGTCACTTCAAATTTCAACCTTTTGCAAAATGTAAACACTGGCTCGTCCGCCATTTCAAACTGTTGCGTAACTGTCTACTTCGAAGAAATTAAGTAGAGTGATTCATGTCTTCGTAGGAGGCTGCTGAAGGTACCCAGTAACATGAGGAGTTTCGGAGATTCTTGTCATTCTAGTCCAGTCGAGCAGTGTGGTTTGGCCAAAGCCATTGTATACTGACTTTTGTCAGAAACTGAAAATTTGAAACCTTTGGGGTAGAATCTTGGCAATAAGATTATAAACCAACAAAATACACAATTGAGTATCCACAAAAGTACCCCTGACAAAAGAATGTTCTTTGCAAGCAGACTTTTAATCTTCTACAGCACGTCAGCAGGAGGTTGAGGCGGAGGTGGAGGCGGTGGCGGCGGTGGTCTGAGTGTCGCACTCACCCTCGTGTCCGAGGGTTTGACACTGTACTGACACTGACCATTCATGAAGCTATATCCAGGGTCAAATGTGTCCCCATACTGCAGCAAGGACAACAGCAGTAACCTCACAAACATGGCAGCGTCGCAGTACTACGCAACCGAGTGACACCTGAGTGTGACTGGTCTTGCTGATAAGGTGAGTGAAAGGTTCCACATGCAACACCTACATACATGAAGCATTAACTTGCTTATTCCTTTCCGTGGTTCGTTGAACGACATCTTGATAAGGAATTACTCAAATGTTGAATGACGTTGATTACGGCGAAGTTAGTAGGGCCTCATTCTTGTAAGGAATGATTGAAAAGTTCGACTGACGTTAATTACGGTGAAGTTCTATTGTATTAGTACTTTTTCCATTATCAAATCGAGTACAAATCACAGGGAATTGTTTTGTAATCTGGAGGATTATTTCCGCGATCATATCAAGCACAAGGTACTGGGAACGTATAGTTTTCATGCCTATCAAATGTTCTAGAGAAGTTAGATGTATCTTCCCTAGCTGCTGAGTGCGGCGTAAAACTAAACTCACTCACTCTTCCCTAGCGTAAAATGAACATGTAGCCACCAGTTTAGCCTTATTGTTACCAGATCACATCAGGGTTGTGGCTTGTTTTATAGGACCTAACAAGGTACGAATACTCAATGCCATTTAGAAAGTGGTCAAACGTAACATATGTTATATTTGGGATTACGCTTTCTCAGTAAAGTACAGATTCTACTACTTTTGTTGGGTTGACTCCCATCCGAGAACCGTGCCAGGTTACACTTATCAGAGGGGTACACAAAGTATCTTGAGGGGTACACAAAGTCTCAAAGTCTTGACTACCAATTGTCGGACTTCCAATTTTGTGGAAGCCGTGGTGGCTGAGTGGGTTAGAGGGTTGACTTTGAGTGCTGGCGATTAGGTGCCTGATTCTGAGGGTGTGGGTACGAATCCTGAATGGAATCAACCCAACAAAAATGCTAGAATATGTATTTTACTGGGAAAGTGTAATCTCAATTGGAACATGTGTTACTAACAAAGTAGAAAGTAGTATGCTTTAATGAAAGTAGCATGAAGCCAATACACTTGCAGTAAATGTTTGAAGGAACGAAAGTTGTAGGGAGATTACGACTACACTAAACCACTACCATTGTACTGTTCTATTGAGAACCCTCTTTATCCTACAAATCTATTCTATACACATGGATATGTGTATCGCAACATAATATCTAACTGCCATAATGCATTATGAGCTTCGATCTATGTAACTGAGATGCGGTGACATGCATTTACTAAGTCAGCGAGTTTTATCATCCGATCCCATTGTTCCCCTCTAACGTGAATGGGGTTGCTGAAGACGAGTTCTAACTCAGATCTTCACTGGACGCTTATGTCATGATCTTCACATGTCCTGTGGTGTTATGTCCTATTCTGTCAAGTACTAGTAGTCGCCAACAAGCTTCAAGGTCTATGACTGACATTACAAGCCATTGGGAGCTCATTATTGAAATGTCTATGATTTTCATAAGTACTACAATGTCATGTCTCACAAAGCTGTTGTCATGACTCCGCCAAAATACAAATGTCCCATTTGTCTTTGGTTCAATACACTAAATTGATGACTCGCTCTAACAATCGTGTTCTCATTGACTCTCTTATTTCTTATTGTCAGCATAATTGCTCTGCATCAGCACATCTTCAGGTTTGTTATTACGTTCTCCATAAGTAGGGCGGTGGGTAGCCTAGTGGTTAAAACAGACCCGGGTTCGATTCCCCACATGGGTACAAAGTGTGAAACCCATTTCCGATGTCCCCCGTCGCGATATTGCTGGAATATTGATAAAAGTGGCGTAAAGTCACACTCACTCACTCTTCATAAGGATGGTCACCCTCAATAATCAAACTCTTAGCCTTCGGCACATCGGTAGACCTGGCCCTTTTCTTCTTGGTCGTTATCATCTCCCTTAGGGACCGTTCATAATTTAGGGGTTGGGGGTTGATGATGATGATTTTAAGGGGTCACCCATTTTGTTCTAGGGAGGTAGGGGGTCATCAATTTTGTACTCGTTTCTAGGGGGTCAGCAATTTTGTACATAAAAAAATCTTTAAAAATTATGCTTAAAAAATATTGGAAGGGGGAGTACATGACATGCAGGAAGGTCGCTTACTTTGTACATAAATTTTAAGGGAGGTCATTCACATTGTACAGGCTTCTCCCTAAAAATCATCAACAGCAAAATCTCGATTATTTACAGACAGCCGCCAAATAGCTGGAATATTGCTGAGTGTGGAGTAAAACTAAACTCATTCACTCACTCCTATTGGATCAGTTGTTCCCTAATTTTCCCTGCACGTATTAGATAGGGGTCACCTCTAGCTGACCCCTGACTTTAAATGTAAGACTTTTTTTGTTTCAATATCGATTGACCAGTCAGTTGCTTGGGCACTTTCGATGCTGATAAGACCTCCCACATATATTTCAGCTGGCTTTGCACTTTAAATGATATCAAAGTTTGCCATCGCACCATTGTATAAGGGGCAGGTGCTGTTGGTAGGTCAAAACATGCGTACCCTTTTTGCTGTGATTTTCAGTGATGTCCCCATGCAATTTTCAGTGATCCTTCATGTAATTTTCTCATTTTTTAGTCTTTTATGTCTAATGTAATTTTTTTGTTCTGGTGTTTTATATTTATGAATAATACATACATCCAAGCACAGATTCATTGTTGGTAAATGCATCTTTTATTTATAAGGACCATCACTTAATGATGACAATGCCTGGGATGTCTCATGTTGAAGTGGTGGTTGCTGTTGATGGCAAGGGCAAGTCCACTTCACAGATGTAAGGGAATGAGCTGGAACACTCGTTATCACCCCACTCGTAGTCTGCGTTGGAATATTCCATGAGTAAGCAATGCTGATTGGATCCTACGTTGTTTGGTTGCCCTGGATACCAGTTGGTATAGCCAATGGAGTAAGGTATATCCATGCCTGTCCATCTGAAATTGTTCTCGGTCTCCTCGTCGTTGCCTGAGGTGAAGAAGCCGGAACTACCAGCTGCCGTCAGTGCTATAGGGAAACAGGGTGAGTGAGTGAGTGGACGGATGGTCGGTGAGTGCGTCAGTGGATTTATATAGTGAGTGAATACATATAATCAACCAAAGATACCTATTTGGTAAATGTATAAGGTATATTCTATATTTTTTAGCCCATCAGTAAATAAAGGCAACATCGTGTTCGCCATAGTTTCTGCTTTCTTCAACAAGTACTCACTGGCAATCATTGAATATAGTGACACCAACCATGGCAGATCGATTGAGAAATTTTCTAAGGTTTAACGCCGCTACGAACAATATTTCAGTTACATCACGACATGTCAGTTTGATGTGTGAGGTCGTATCTGGTCTTAGGAAACTGTAACACTGGTCTTAGACGCTTAAATCTTAGAGCCACCTCTGACCTAAGAGTTGAATTGATTGTACTTACAACATATTCTGATCTGCTCTAACTATGAACCCTTAAACCTGTTTTTAGTTTTGTCTCACCTGGGTCGTTCTTGATGATGCTGGCCAGAAACTTATGTTCTTCCTCAGAGTCAATGGCAACCAAATGTGAAGCCGAGTTCTCTTCTTTACATGCCTCTTGACAATAAGACCATCTAGTGGGCTTGGTGTGGAAGGTGTAGCAGGAACGACTGTCGTTCCCTGTTCGGCGATATGCACCCGGGGGACAGTCAGGGAGATCTGCATATCAAATAATATGTACACATGAACAGTGTTTTGTTTAGAGATTGTGTCATGTCTCATGAGCCCACACACTATATATTGCATGGGTTTCATTGGGTTCGGGTTTGGCTGCACGTAGTTGCTGTGGAACAGCCCATGTTCCAGACATATCGTACGCAACTAGAACATTATCAACCTGACATTTGCAATAGACCTGGTGATTTCAGGTACGAACCGTTCAGACTGAATGACTTCGTTGGCTGTGCGTTATCAGGCCAGACAGATTTTACTTTACTCATAATTTCAACCACTGTTTGTTTTTTTTTACCTGAAACCGATTGCTTAGCTGAAATATTGCTGAGTTAGTGACTGAACTCACTTTCGTCACTTTACTTGAAGTATATAGATTACCCACACATAGACCGTTTGTGTGGGTTACATCAAATGTTCCTCTTTGTGTTTGTATACCTGGGACTCCTTTCACGAAGCAACCTTTATTAAGGTTAGCCTTAACTCCCATTCTTTAACATTGCACTAAGGTTACCTTAGTGACTTACGATCACCTTAGTGCTTTGTGAAAGGAGGCCACAAGAGCTCCTGACCCTCCTTGCCCTGATATTGTGTTCGTAAGTTTCACCAAAATGGCACACGTCACTCATGGAACACGTTCTGGTTCATATGCACACTAAGTGAGTTAGTGAGTATGGTTTAACGCCGCTTTTAGCAATATTTCAGCAATATCACGGCGGGGGACACCAGAAATGGCAAAACACATTGTACCCATGTGAGGAATTGAACCCTCGACTTCGGCGTGACGAGCCAACGCTTTTACTACTACGCTACCCAAACAGTCCCAATACATACAAAGAGAAATTAACGTCATGTTGTTGATATTGCGCCCATAAGAGCAATGAATATCATCTGGCTATATTATAGTAATTAATATTGTTTAACTAAGACCAATTAATGTATTGTATGTAATGTATTGTGTATATTGTAAGTCTTACTTACTTTGACACGTTGTGTTGTAGACGTAAATGTCGTCGATGGCGATGTTTCCATAGGTGTCGTGGTAAATGGAATCAGACGCAAAGACGTGTTCGTAATAACTACGCGATGTTCCTTCAAATACTAACTGAAATAGGATTTAAGGGACAATAGTTTTGTAACATATCGATATGATGACATGAAGCATGACATGACATGGAGTAGCATGACATGACATGGAGTAGCATGACATGAAGTAGCATGACATGGAGTAGCATGACATGAAGTAGCATGACATGGAGTAGCATGACATGAAGTAGCATGACATGGAGTAGCATGACATGAAGTAGCATGACATGGAGTAGCATGACATGAAGCAGCATGACATGAAGTAGCATGACATGGAGTAGCATGAAATGAAGTAGCATGACAAGAAGTAGCATGACATGGAGTAGCGTGATATAAAATAGCATGACATTAAGTAGCATGACATGAAGCAGCATGACATTAAGTAGCATGACATAAAATAGCATGACATTAAGTAGCATGACATTAAGTAGCATGACACTGCGTAGCATGACATGAAGTAGCATGACATGGGCGAGTGAGTGAGTGAGTTTAGTTCTACGCCGCATTCAGCAATATTCCAGCTATATGGCGGCGGTCTGTACATAATCGAGTCTGGACCAGACAATCCAGTGATCAACAGCATGAGCATCAATCTGAGCAATTGGGAACCCATGACGTGCCAACAAAGTCAGTGAGCCTGACCAACCGATCCCGTTAGTCGCCTCTTACGACAAGCATAGTTGCCTTTTGTGGCAAGCATGGATTGCTGAAGACCTATTCTACCCCGGATCTTCACGGGTCAGCATGACATGGAGTGGCATGACATGGAGTAGCATGACATGGATTAGTATGAGATGAAGTAGCTTGACATGGAGTTTCATTAATCAAACAAATACTTTCGTAGCGGCTGCGTGGTGTTTCTTCAAAAACACTGAAAATGAAATATTTGACCGTTGAACGGCAGAGGTTAAATCAGTTTAAAGTGATTAAATAAACAAACGTTTGCTGTAGTGCACGACTGTTACAGAGTCAAGCCTATCTACAACCAATTACAGGTAATTGAGGAATGTGACTTTCTCCAATACCCCTTCTTGACAGGCTACAGACCAGAGGAGTACATGGGTTGTTCGGGCTCAGGGAACATAACCGAATATAGAGGGTACATCGACCCATGTGCACCGAGGGACCAGTGAACAACATAATTATCTTACTGAACACCTCAATTTTAATTTTAAAATGTTTGAAGCACGGGTATCGGATCATAATAAGGAGTACCAGAGCAATTATCCGATACCGACAAAGACAGACAAGAAAACAAATTTAGAGTTACATCCTTTCCATTGATTTGCATTTGCAAACATCGGTAATTCCCGTACATCATACGTGACTCAATTATTCGAGATAAAAAATTACTAACATGAAGTGCCATATGAATTCCCACACTTCGGCAATCCCAGCGGGTGACATAGAAAATGGAAATGATATATAGAATAACCCTCAGCCAATCAGAAAACGACCTTTAAGTGTGAGGTAAGATAAAATTTATTGTGTAAACCGAGAGGACCAAGAAATATAGAAATATGTTTTAAAAAATATCGTTCCAGTTGCTTCAGTGATGTCAGTATTTTGCAGTGATCATTTGTCTCAGTAACTAACTGACGTCACATGTACCAAGAGTGCTCAAATATTACCTCACACAGTTAACTTTTCAACAATGCAGGTCTATACATCTGGAAATTAAACCACTTACTATTCCAATCGTGATGGTAACGTTAACACATGTCATCGCATTCCAATTACGTAGATCGATGCTCATGATGTTGATCACTGGATTATATGGACCAGACTCGATTATGTACATATAACTGGAATATTGCTGAATGCGACGTAAAACTAAACTCACTCATTCACTTATGCATATATTCCTCTTAGGCAGGTGGTATGCTTCGAGTAATAATAAGTATATTCCTTTATAGCGATCATGCTCTTGTTCTTTGTGGCGTTAAACAACAAACAAACAAACAAACAAATAAACCATTCGCCAGGACAATACTTACATGGAATGGTTTTGAAGTGTACTCAGAGCCGATGTCAATCTCTCCGAGTTGCCATTTGGCAGACACCTGACCAGATCTAGTCCACACAGGGTAGCCCAGGCCGCTGCCAACCTATGACATACAATACGTACAGATGACAAGAAGATGTACAAATGGGTACTGTGGAGCTTGGAGCAAATGATAAATGACAACTGAATCCTTGTGTATATGTTTTCACCCAGGCTCAAAGTTTCTGTGGTTATCTGCTCTCGGGCAGCGACCAGTGATGTTGGCAAAATGAAATGTGCTTTAGATTTTAGTTACAATATATTGTGTGAAACTGTGAAAACATTATTTCTGGGTTTCTTTTTAATTTGTGTTAGCGTTCAAATATTATTCTTAACGGGTCTTTTTTCATACTCGTATTCTTAGTGGATTAGTATTTAAGTTCCTTGGTGTTGAAGTTCTTGCACTCTCACTTTGGCATACACGTTGAGATCCTGTATATCCCGTCCGGCCATGTTGTACCAGAACTGGACGCAATAGTCAGGTGATGGATTGAACAGAGGCGACTCTAGCAGGGCGGATGTTTCCCTCTTGTACCATAATGCCGATCGATGAGGGTCGATGTGCATGTAGTTTCCTGTGGCGATTTCAGTCCTTCATAAACATGTCCTGAAGCAATCTTATTAAAATCAGACCACAATGTTCATCACATCTACTCATAGTTCTGAGAGCATTAAGTTACAGCTCATGTCAGAACGACCCTTCATCCAACCGATCAGAACTTTGCTAATGAGATTGCTCGTAAACGTGAAGGTCGGAAAGGGGTTTTCATATGCTGCAACCTCAAAAAGGTTCACACAACACATTTCCACCTTTATAAACTTCGCAGCTGAAGCCACACTACTGTGGAATAGCCTCCCAAGCACTATCAGAGAAATCAACTGTAAAGACTCTTCAAAAAATGCCCTAAAACCCATCCGTTCAGAATATCCCTCTTATAGTCTTCCAGACTTTCTTCTTCAGCGCCGTTGAGCAAACACTTTTTTGGAAATAGGAACTATATAAATTCATGATCATTATCATCAAACTGCTTCTACTCACTACCGCGTTGTTCCAACTCAGTGATCTGTATTTTTATGGTGTATGACCTTATTACCAACATTCTACCACACATTCTTAAACCTTCTCACATCAGCCCACATAGTTCTTCTTAAGCCCAACATATAGATATAAAGTTGTAATTTCAGCCAAGTCAGCACCCCCCTAAAGACACTGGAATGGAATATAAATATCAAATATGTATCCCGCCTAACCGTCAGGAGTGCCAATTGTATGATCGTTCCAAGGTCCGGTGACTGTGCTAGGTCTCCCACTGCCCCTGTACCACTTGGCGGTGTTGTTGCTGGCCTGGGTGTAGCCGCAGGTGCTGGAGCTGTCGAAGTCACAGAAGGTCAGGTTGTAGTTCACCGCTGAAAGGAGTGAGACTAGGGTGAGTTTGGTTTAACGCTGTTTTGAAAGGTGATCCAGTTATGCGAGTACCTTACATCTAAATTATGGGAAAGCCCACAGATCTTACATAGGTATTCCTCTGGTGAATCCAATGGGCATGGGGTTTGGTGCTGACAACCTTAGAATCATAATCGGGGCAAACCAGTGAGTGAGTTTCGTTTTTCGCCGCTTTTAGCAATATTCCAGCAATTTTGTGGTGGGGGACACCAGAAATGAGCTTCACACATTGTACACATGTGGGGAATCGAACCCGGGTCTTCGGCGTGACGAGCGGACGCTTTAATCATTAGGCTACCCCTTGAATTGTGCACGAGTTTGAAAGATCAAATATTCTCTCCCTGTGTTTAAATATTGCTTTACAAACAAACCAGGTTTGACAGTCGTGGTAGATGTAGTCGTCATTGGGGTACTTCGGGTACAGTCCGGACGTTTTCTGCAGGTGTCTAACTCACTCTGTAGGAGCCTAATTTCATCTGATGCTTGCTTCGTGATGTTTCTCAGTTCATCTTCCTTTTCCAACAACAATCTTTGAAGTTGTTCTACGCTTAGATCGCCATATGGAGACGTTGACCGGACTCCTTTCTGCAATATTAATGGTTTCATATTAAATATATTATCTGTGGGGATATAATGTGTCAGTTGTTTTGTGTATGTATGCCTGTGTGCGTGCGTGCGTGTGTGCGTGCGTGCGTGTGTGTGTGTGTGTGTGTGTGTGTGTGTGTGTGTAGCTATTTCAGACTACGCTGCTATTATTACCAACGATATGGAGTATGTTTACGCGAAGGCAAGTCACCGAATCCGAATTCTTGGTATCAAACTGTTGCTTGTATACTATACAGGCATGAGAATATATTCTCTAGACGTGAGTGTAATTGAAAAGGTGTAGATTAGTTATGAAGAGATTATCTTCCTCTATGTACTTGGTAATTGGGCCAACGCATCGAATTGAATACCAACAGTACGTGTCTGTACATTGTCGATGCCTGAAATATGTCCCATCACAACATTGTTCATGTAATATGCATACATTTTGTGTGTTGTATATAAATATCTGTATACTTAATTCAACAATTTCTGTAGGCAGAGAGACAAATAATTGAGCTGCCTTTCCTCCACAGTTTTATACTTTTGACTGACTGAATTTGGTTTTACGCCGCTTTTAGCAATATTCCAGCAACATCACGGCGGGGGACACCAGAAATGGGCTTCACACATTGTACCCATGTGGGAATTCGAACCCGGGTCTTCGGCGTGACGAGCCAACGCTTTAACCACTAGGCTACCCCACCGCCCCCTTATACTTTTGAGACAATAGGAGAATAAGATATGTTTCAACCATGTAATGGTCAGTAGTTAAATACCATGGCTTGATATAATATAACCTACGTATTCTAAGTATCCTTAAATAACATAATGTACCGTACTCAGAGCGTATGCAATCCGTACATTACGCAGTTACCGTGTTCTGAACCTGTGCACCGTACGTCACAGACGTAGCCGTGTACGGAAGTCTTGCAACCGTACGTCATGGATTGTCATATAATATCACCTACCGTATTCTGAAGCTCTTCAATCTTCTTCGTCATCAGTGCCATGGACGCCTTCATCAACGTGACGTCATTTTGTACAGCGGCGCAGCAGGAAGCGCCGGCGGGGGTGGCGACAGTGGTGTGAGTGTCGCACTGACCTTCGTGACCGAGTTTGACACTGTACTGACACTGGCCATTCATGAAGCTACATCCAGGGTCAAATGTGTCCCCGGGCCCATATTGGAGCAGGGACAACAGAAGTAACAGCACAAACATGGCAGCTGTGTAAAGGGCGTCCTGTATAATAACTCTGTAATCAGTGTGCCAGTGATAAGGTGAGTGTCAGTTTTCCACCTGCCAAGTCTCAATACGTGTACAACTAAGCTCCATGTGAACCACGTTCATAACTATGGTTCTTAGGATACCTTCTTGATCAGGAAATATTGAAAACATACGCGGGACGTTTTTACGGTAATATCAGTAGTGCCTCATAATTTATCCCATTTGCGGAGATCGATGCTCATGCTGTTGATCACTGGATTGTCTGGTCGAGACTCGATTATTTACAGACCGCCGCCATATAAACTATATTATTGCTGATTGCGGCAAACCAACCAACCAAGACTCATAACCAATGTATTCCTAAGTCACACGACTTACCTGGCAGAATGTCACTATTTTCAACAGGAACAACTGGATAACCCATTTGATTCAAATTGGCGTTGGGTTAGTCTTATGGTTAAAGTGTTCGCTCGTCACGCCGAAGACCCGGGTTCGATTCCCCACATGGGTGCAATGTATGAAGCCCATATCTGGTGTCTCCGGGTGTGATATTGTTGGAATATTGCTAAAAGCTGCGTAAACACCTACTCACTCGCTCCATTGATTAAAGTCATGAGGGTCAGTGTGACTCTCAAATGACCCATGACCGATTATGTACTTGTTGACAGTCACGTAATCATATGTCTGAAACATTGCTGAAAGTGTGAAAGTCAAAACTCACTGACCAATAGCGGTAGTGGGTTAGTTTATTCTTGAAACGTTTGCCTGTCTAACTATGAATGTCGAATGTTCAATTCCCACACAGGAAATTGTTTATTGCATTCCCGTCCAGATGTGGCTGAAATACCGTTTAAGGCAGCGGAGATGGTACTTGTTGACAATACATGGAAAACTCAAGGAATGGTAGACTAAGTTTAGAAATGAGCACATTGGTTTTCAGTGGGGTATCCAAAACTATCCATATGAAACTTCATCATCTCCGTGTCGGCAGGTTTTTTATAATATACATATATTTCATTTCAATATCGAATGTTCTCGTCACGATATGGCTGAAATATTGCCGATGTGACGTTAAATATTAACTCACTCACTCACTCACTCATCATCTGTTGGCAGAGAAATGGCATGCGTCCTGACTTGTTCAAACAAGCACAAACACACAAACAGACACGCACGCACGCACGCACGCACGCACGCAATCACGCACACTTACCCACTTGCGGCACCTCTGGCTTTCCTTCCATAGCATGACAGCAATGATATCCTTGATCAAAGGCTAGATACCGAGAATGACAACAATCCAAAACCGTCTGTAAATACGTCTATTCTGTCCTATATAGAACAGTGCAATATCGTAGCTCGAAATCAAATAAAGTCGACATCGAATTAGCATCTACTTTTAGTAAAGATGATTATCGAAATACGAAATAAATTTTGTCACATGACACTGTAACTTATGCAGTGAAATATGAAACTATTAGTCAAATGCACAGCAACAATAACTGACAAAAAAGTAGTTACATTCCTACCACGAAACATGCGACAATAACGGGTTAAACATTCTCAATGGTTTTTATTTACATACATATCAATATTGGAGAATGCAACAAACGTGCTTTCCACACAACATTCAAGGCCTCAGTAAAGCTTTTAGAGGTTTAATGGTAGACATGTCGAGGAAATTTCCAAATTTGATGCATCAGTGACAAAAAATAGTGTCCGATGCAATTCCCTATTTTGACTTATACCATACGTTCCCGAATTATTTCAGGTGAACTAGACTTTGCATATGTTTGTGACAGTTGCTACCGGTGGGGCAGGATCCGCTCACCTTTTCGCGAACACCTGGTATCATCACTATTTGATAGTGATTCATAATCACATGCTCTGTCATCGTATCGCATGGTGACAATCACTGGATTGTCTGGTTCAGACCCGATTTGTTTACAAACAACATAGTACAGCTGTAATACAGCTTAAACAAATATCTGCCCATGATATAGTCACAACTGTACAATCGACCCTGCTTTTCGCAGAGATTTCTTATGAAAGTGGAAAGGGTTTTGCCGCGTCTATTTACACATCAACAGCGTTTGTATTCTGTTGCTTGCCATATCACGATTGGTATGACTTCACGGTGAAACAAATATCTAATTACGTCTAGATCTATTGTGGGATACGATTACGGAAACACCTTAAAGTGTTCCTTGATCCTTTTACATGATTCTTCTCATGTGTTGTATTGCTCTGTGAGTACAACTCTGAGGGTGTTGTATTGGTCTGTGAGTAAAACTCTGAGGATACTTAAAGGAAAACCACGATAAAGACTCACACACACAAGTCAACTCCCAGGTGACATTAGTGTTTGTTTTTAAGTCCGAATCTAATTTGAAAATGCGTAATGACCATACATGTAGACTTAGAAAAGGCACTTAATGTAAAACTCTACCGACTATTGGTATTATTAGTCATTGACTTTAAATGTTACATTACTCTAAAACTATTAAAATATTATATACCTATGACAGTTGATGTTCGAATTAAACGTATGTACTGCAAAAGTGAGTGAGTGAGTGAGTTTAGTTTTATGCCGCACTCAGCAATATTCCAGCTATATGGCGGCGGTCTGGAAATAATCGAGTCTGGACCAGACAATCCTATGATCAACAGCATACGATGACGTGTCAACCAAGTCAGCGAGTCTGACCACCCGATCCCGTTAGTCGCCTCTTACAACAAGCATGGGTTACTGAAGATCACTTCTAACACGGATCTTCACGGATTGTACTGCAAAACAGTGTGCATGTGTAAGGTCACCTATATGACAGTCTAACTATCAAGTGCCGTGGACACATTTGCCCAGAACAGTTCCTGGTCGCTGGGGTCTTTTGGGTAGTCTACAAAACGGCTGTTCTGTACATCGTAAAGTATCACGGGTGGAATGTCCCGGCACGGAATGTCCTCCAACATGATGATGACCATGACAGATCGGCCAGTGGACACAGTCTCCATGTTGGCCATGTGTAACTCGTACCTACACCACTTCTTCTTCAGGAACGCCTGGGACAACAACAGCACAGTTTTCTTGCTGCTTCTGATCCCGTCGATGATGTTCTCAGCAATAGGAGCTCCTGGAAGAGAGTCTCGATCCCGGATGTAAAGTCTCTTCCCCTTCTGGTGTTCCAGCTTCTGAATCATGTCCTCGCGGACAAAATGAAGGTCATGGTCGGCGTAAGAGACGTAAACGTCAAAATCGTAAATGCGTTCATATTCAGTTTTGTTTTTTCTTAGTTTCAGTTTGAACACATAAAAAAAGTAGATAATTTTCCAACGATAACGATAGCAGATAGTTGCTGCTATCAGGGAACAGATGAGGACGAATGTTGCAAGTAGTCCCATAGATAGAGCTATGAAATCAGAGCAAGAATCTTTCAGATTCTTTAGTACATCATGATCTTTAAAATGTATTACTTCCCCATTGATGTCAACGCAATGATACAGGTCTCTGTTTGCTGCATGAATGTTGGAGTTTAGCAACCATTCAAGAAATTCTATATTTTGACATGTACAGCGGAGGTCGTTTCCAGACAGGTCTATGGTAAAGTTGTGCAAAGCGGCTAGCCTGTCCATCTGGGATCTCAACCGTGGCGATATATATTTGATGTAGTTGTGTGAACAATTTATACTTGTAAGATTTAAGTTATGGTCCAGATCTACAAATAGGCTGTCCATGTAGTTTAAAGAAAGATTCAATGTTGTCAGTGATTTCAGTCCAGTAAGGAAATACCGATGCAAGAACAATATCTTGTTGCTAGACAAATCTAAAACTTCTACTTTACTTTGATTCCGAAAATATTCCCAATTTTCAGACATAGTGAATGCATTGTGGGATACATTTAGGTGCGTTAGTGATGGAAAGGTTGCAAAAAAATATGGTTTGACATACGTGGCAAGATTTCCTGAGAGATCAAGATGTGTGACATTTTCCAAGCCATATATAGGACCTAACCAAACAGCAAATATATTATAAGACAGATCAACACGTCTAAGGCTATTATCAGCAAAATGCAACTTTGACAAATCATATGCTAACTTACAATCTGTGTATTTTAGTGTTTTTAGATTTGGAGGAATGCCATAGGGTTTGATCGTATGAGCATTTTCCGGTATTTTTTCGTGTGGAGAATCCTCCAAATATTTCTCTGCTCTTGGTGTTGTGAAACAGTTTTCAGTTTGATGGTGACTCGGTAACGTATATCTGGTTTGGTTTTCCGGTTCCGCAAATGGTAAGGTGTGGAGTCCCCTCGTTGTGCTTAAATCCAGAGTCTCCAGTCCTGTCAGGTTCTGTAGGTACCAGATGTATGCACCGTAGGTGAGACGGTTGTTCCTGACGCTGACTGTCTTCAGTGTATTCGGCAACAACCTGAACACATCTTCGTGAATCAATTCGATCCGGTTGTCGTTGGCCTCTAGCATTTCCAGGGACGTATTTTGAAGATTTAAACCAATCGACTTTGGTACCAGAACACATATAGTATGTTCTCCCACCATCTTGTTGATAAACAGTTGTCTTAGTCTCGAATTATTTAATCCCCTTGTAGCATTCGCGACTCCGTTTAATTTTAAGAAGGTGTTACCTGATATATCAAGAGTGTCAAGGTTCCGCAAGAAGGAAAGAGCTCCGGGCTCTACTGTAAATATCTTGCAATAAGAAACATTCAGACTCTGTAGCATCGGGACGTTTTGTAGGAAGTCCTTGGACAAATAATCAATTTTACAACGCCCATTTAATCCAGATAGTGAAAGGTATGTAAGATTGTACATCACTTCACACCCACTACCAACAGGACTTCGAAAAATACCATCCATAGTGAGACTCTCGAGAGACATCAGTGGACAGAGCAACGACGTGGGTATCTCGGCATATGTATTGTTGCTCAAGCTCAAATGTTTGAGTTTTTCCAAGGACGAAAATATTTGTGTAGACATGAGAATATACTTTAGTCTGTTGGTGGACAGATCAAGGAGGGCCAGTTCCCCAACACCACTAAAAGAGTCATTGTGAATTTCAGATAGATCATTAGAGGAGAGATCCAGGGAGGTCAGCATGGGGTAGTTGCTTAAGTCAGAGTTCCCAAGGATAGTTATGAAGTTTCCATGAAGATTCAGATGACAAATATCGTGGTATTGGGACAGCGGAATTGTCGTCAAATTACGGTTTGAACAGTCTGCATGGTAACAGTCTCCTTGCATGGGTTTTGTACATGTACATCGCGAACACAGGTCTGTTTCCTTGGGATCACTTCGTCCTTGGGATATCATTATGAGAAGTAGCAAACAAACACAGTCTTTAGTAGCCATTTGGGGAGAAACTGCAATACAAATACAAGATAGTCATAATTGAGAAAACAGTGACGTCTTCTATCTATGCGTCATCCTATAATCAGGACGGGGATAATATCTGATCACGAAAGAGTACAATTGTATTCAGAGAGTCAATGTACCCTTTTTCCCTTCAGCTCGAAGTGTTGATATAACCAATGGCATATCTATCTATGTAAGTACCCATACATCACCCAGACTTTGTAATTAGGGGCGGTGAGGTAGCCTAGTGGTTAAAGCGTTCGCTCGTCACGCCGAAGACCCGGGTTCGATTCCCCACATGGGTACAATGTGTGAAGCCCATTTCTGGTGTCCCCCGCCGTGATATTGTTTGAATATTGCTGAAAGCGGCGTAAAACTAAACTCGTTCACTCACTATAACCAGGGCAATAAACATTAGAATCGGTAACCGTGATCATTTCCATAGTGTGTGACAATCAATTTTAATATTTTACATTTTACACAACTAGATATCTATACATCTATGAATAACGGATTTCACACAGGCAGGCACGGTATGACAAAATACCCAAAGAAGATGAAACTGCAATTTTTATTTTTTGTTTTTAATTATTATTATTATTTATTTTTACTTTTTATTTTATTTATTTATTTATTTATTTATTTATTTTTTATCCATTTTCTTTTTTCTTTTTTTTTTTTTGGGGGCGACCACAGCGAAGAGGTGGGTTAATTTGTGCTGGAGCCTCGCCAATTTGCCCACATCACCATGGAAGGAGCGTGTATTGTGTTTAGAAAAACGTTACATTTGACTGGCTAATTCTGATTCCTGACCTGCGCTACTTTCGATATTCATTTTTACGTATATGGAGCGTCTATGTGTTAACCTTTGAATAGTCGCCCGTGAAGATCCGGGTTAGAATTTATCTTCAGTAATCCATGCTTGTCGTAAGAGGCGACTAACGGGATCGGGTGGTCAGGCTCGCTGACTTGGTTGACACATGTCATCGTATCCCAATTGCGTAGATCGATGCTCATGCTGTTGATCACTTGATTGTCTGGTCCAGATGCTATTATTTACAGACCGCCGCCAGATAGCTGGAATATTGCAGAGTGCGGCGTAAAACTAGACTCACGCACTCTAACTATGAAACAGGTGAGGTGGCCTCACTGGTCCTCTTTATCTCAAGGTGGTAAATCACTAGAGGGCATTTATATTTATGATTCATATGCAGTATGCAGATACATATATCTGCGTAAGAAGGCGACTGTCGGGATCGGGTAGTCAGGCTCGTTGACACATGTCATCGTAACCCAGTAGCGTAGATCGATGCTCATGCTGTTGATCACTGGGCTGTCTGGTTCAGACTCGATTACTGACAGACCGCCACCATACAACTGGGATGTTGCTGAGTGCGACGTTCAACAACAAACCAAACAACAAATCTATTCTCATAATCACCGTGGCGTAGTAATACATGACGCAACTGTCATTTGTGACGTCATCCGGCCAACTACTTATAATGTGACCCTTCCAACAACCCATGCGTCGCAAAGAGGGACATTCCATGCATCCCTACGCGGGATAAGTCCAATACGACCCTCACACTGACCATAAGACATTGCCTGGTCATATCACATGCGTACCAAGGAGGAACAACCCATGCGTCCCAAAGAGAGGGACATTTCATGCATCCCTAGGCGGGATAGGTCCAAGGAGACCTTATCCCCCAAAAAAAAAACCCCCAAAACAACCCAACAACAACAACCAAAAACAACAACGACAAAAAAACAACAACATGCGTCCCAAGGAGGGTCACCTCCCACTATGAATCCCAAGGTGGGACACGTCCATCAAGAGACATCACCTACCCACGACCCCACACTATGCCAACCGGCGAAGGCGACCTCAATAGCATCTACCTGGGGGGCTGGCAGACGAAGATGATAGTGAAAACTCGACAACACCTAAACTACACAGTCTTTGACTCTCTGAAGTTTCGACACAGAGGTAAGTGAGATTGACGGATGTGCTGGAAACATTAAAGCACAAATGGGATACAAAATGCCATAGTAATTATAAATAGTGGCGTTACCACTGATTTGTGTGTGAGTGATATTGATGTGAGTGATGTTCGCGTGCTTCCTCGTATGAAACACAATGTTTTTCTCAGTATTCCTTTTCAGTAAAGCTGAGTTGTCGCAAACCTCAAGCGGAAAAAGAAAACTACGAGTACTTTCTACAAGTCATTTTTTGAAAATCATTGTTTTCCGAAAATCCATATTTATCATATGTGTAAATTCAATAAAAAGTAAATTAAGGCAACCTTCATTAGAAACATCAGGAACATATTTGTGTTTGTGATGGTAAACGTGCTGGATACCATGAGCCATATATTACTGATAAGAAAGTCAGTGATACTGACTATGTTGTGCTAACATCATCGTAAAAAGACGCAGTTTTGTCATATCAGTATGATTAAACACGGATGTAATATGTTACTACCTTATTTGCGTGTACTTTTTAACTGATTTTTTAACTGTGGAGAGTTTCCTTCTGTTTGGTCACAAGAGCATTTATTTATCTTCCCTCTTCACCAAAAGGGAAATAAGAGCTATGCTAATAACTATAGAGGTATTTCCTTGATGGAGATATGCGGAAATATATTCACTTATACACAGATACGGAAGATTAATATTTTATCCAAATTTTGCACAAAATGGGGCTTAAAGCTTAATTTTACAAAAACAGAGATAATTGTTTTTCGCAATGTAGGTATATTTAAGAAGACCGAAAAATGGATGTTTAACCATGTGAAGTTGAAAACTAGAAGCTATTACAGCTATTTTTGGTATTTTGTTTTCCAGCAGACTACCGTGGTCAAAAGCAGTCCAGACTCTTGTTCATAAAGCTAATAAAGCCCTTCTTCCAATTAAACAGCTTCATCGTAATTAAAAAATCTTTCTCCCACTGTCTTGTTTCAAATGTTTAATACACATATTAAGTCTATCTTATTCTATTGCTCAGAAATATTTTCATGAGTGGATAATGCTAGAAAGATTTCATATAAAATACTGTAAATATGTTCTTGGTGTTGGTATTACCACAACAAATGCAGCTGTTTTATCTGAATGCGGTCGTCATCATATTTGTTGTGATTCTATGATAAGATGTGTTAAGTACTGGTGTAAATGATTAATTATGGAAAAGACTAGATATCCAAAACAAAGTTTAACCTATATTATGGTAAAAAGAATGGACGATAATAAGCGCAAGTCATGGATTACTGAACTGTGGGTTTTAGCCATGCATAGGATTTTCAAAATATTGTTAACACTAATTTAGAGTTAAAGATTGTAATATCCAGTGCAAATTTCTATGTTAAATGAACATTCTAATTTATAGTTCTATTTATGTGTCAAAAGTGCATTTAATGTGGAATCATATTTGTCGACTTTATATAGCAAAGATTCAAGAAGATTTGTATCACTATTAAGACTAAATAATTAAATATCAAGAAGAATGCAGGAAGAAGAAATAATGTCCCAAGGGAATTAAGATTTTGTCCATTTTGTAAGAACATTTTAGAAGATGAGGTTCATTTTATGTTTATTTGCCCACAATATGATGATTTAAGAACAAGATATATGTTAAACATTGACTGTAAAGATAGAAATCTCTCATTCGCCTTCTTCAAAATGAAAATACTAATTATTTATATATGTATGCAAAATATATTAAGGAAGCGTTTATGCGACGTAGCGCATTACTATAATAAACATATAAAATATGTTCTAGTTATTGTGCATATAATTTCTGTTGTATTATATTGTATTATACATTGTGCATGGGCCTGTGGCCTTTCTACTGAATAAAGTTATATATAATATAAGGAACATATTAGTGTTTTTGCCTGGTCAACCATTACGTGCTGGGTACCATGGGCCGTATATTACTGATAAGAAAGTCAGTGATACTATATATGTTGTGCTAACATCGTCGTAAAAGACACAATTTTGTCATGTCAGTATGACTAAATCCACCATGAAAGAAATGTCAATGTACCTACTCAATATGTTGCCACTATTTCTCCTGCAGATAATATAACAGACTGTGATGCTGACGAGAGGAC